GCTGGTTGGTATGGTTTGATTTTTTGTTGGGCTTTTTTTCTGCTTTATATAGACCAATATCAGAAATTTCTCATAAATATCTGTAATTTAGCAGCTGGTACCAGCAGCTGATGACACAGTGGAAGAGCCAAGATGGGCTGCTTTGTCTCTTGATGTTGTACAACTTTTTCTGCTTTTCTAAGGTACTCACAAATATTTAACTCAACAGAACACATCAGAATTAGACTGCTTCCTAGCAGTCTCAGGTATGTATGTTTAAATATTTTTCCTTACAGTACAATGCAGAGCTGAGATTATTAGATCCTTTCTTTGGAGTTTCAGCTTTTGTACACTATGTCTCTTGCATCTATGAGATCAGGAATGGATAACTGAAGTACTGACTCTATTGGAACCTGAAAGCAAAGTTACAGCTGCATGAATACTATGACAGTTGAAACTTCAAATAAGAAAAGAAAAAGCAGCAAATTAATTAGCCAAAACATCAAACCTACATACCTAACTTGCATTCCATGAATGAGATGGATGCAGAGATATGAAGAACAGTACCAATTGCTTTGTACATTACCTTCTCTTCCATCCCAGGAACATGCCGTTCCTTTCAGTGAGCCTGGCCTTATTTTTCCCTGAATGGCATGCTGTAAACAGACTGTTAGTAGTCCCAGACACATGACAGACAGCCTGAAATCCAGAGGGTTTCTGTCAAATCCAAATGCCCCTCATTTTAATGGTGAGCATGAGACGCAGGAGAGCATTTGCATCTCTCTTCAGGACAAGACTCCATCCTGCCTTTTAATTTTCCTTTCCATGCACCATGATTCCTCTGTGAATCCTCTTCCTGCTGCTTCTATTACTGTTGCTTTCAACAAGGCTGTAGCCAGTTCTGTTGCTGCTGTTTTGGCAGAGCAATGGATGAGGAACAACAGCTGTAGCCACCACTGCAAACCTCTCCTGTCCTGGGTCTCTCTGTGTACACATGGTCTGTGCAGAAATCAAACCCTTTTTCTTTCTAACACAAATAATTTCTAAAACTCCACCAAAAAAAAAAAAAAAAACAAGAAAAACAAAATAAAAACTCCAAAAAACCAAACCAAACCAAATCAAACCACCACCAACACACAAAAAACCACCCAAAAAACCCCCACAAAAACCAAAAAACAACAAAAACCCCCAAACAACAAACAGAAAACCAAAGCCTGAAAAAAAACCCACGTGTGTGTTCCTACTGGGCAGAAAACTGGCATGAATTGTGGCAACATTGTGCCAGGGATTGTATTGATGGTCTATTGGTGTGGATAGTCCCTGCACTCTGGTGCTATTCAGTTTATTTCAAGAGTTGGAGCTAGTACAGCCCACCTGTTTCAGCTCTGCAGCAGGACCCTGACTTGAAATAGATGGCCTAGGTGTGTCAAGGCTTGAACCAGGTTGTCAGTGCTCTTTTCTGTGAGGAAAGTCCCTAAGTTCAGGATATTTCAGACAGAAAATCTGGGATCTAAATTCCAGCCCCTTGTTCAACCCTCTCTGATCAGCAAACCTAAGGGTTTTACTCTTCTCCCCATGACTCAGCTAGCATTGACCTAGAGCTGCATTATTTGCAGAATCGCTGTGCTTCAGGCATATTAGAAAAAATGTGGCCCAACAGTTCCACCAGATTGCAGAACAGGATTCCAGTATCTTGTCTGCTTTGATTTTGAAGTGCTCTCAACAACATCCTACATAATCTTGTGGGGTTTTCTCCCGCAAGGCAAGGCAAAGTGCCAGCTAGAAGCTGAGGAGGAAACTGGCAGTGAAAATATGTCATTGTGTTACAAAGGGCTCATCTTACTTTGCAGACAAATTTAAAAAATAAAAATCTGTTTGCTTCATTTGAAAGAATATACCAAGCTGCATGATACACTTGTATAACCTGCCTTCAACTCATGCCAGCTTCTCCCTACAGGAGGATTTTGAAGAACTCCTGTGATGCAGTAGGTTTACAGCCACCCCACCTGTGTGGTGACTCGAGACAGGCAAAGAGAAAGGCTTCTGGGTTCACAACCAGCTAAGATATCTGTTTAATGTCTTTAATATTGATTGAGAAACCTAGCTTTGGGCAGCCAAGATTGGAAGTTTTTTGGTCAAATTCACAGTTGTTTCTGTTCATCTATTAGCCTGTTATATTTCATTTTGAAAGGAAAAATGCTCACACAGGATAATTACCTATGTAAACTCCACTATGCCTCTATGAATAGGGTAAGAAAGTGAAAATTTGATCTAACTCCTGTTCACCTATGCAATCTACAATGTCCTCTGGTTAAAAATAGTCTGACCTGGCTGCTCATTGTCTTGTGTCAGGTAACATGTCCTTTAAGTCAGAAACTCAGTGTCATATGGGCTTCTGGAGTATGTGCTGTGCTTGTGATTAATACACATAAAATATGACAGAAGTAGGGCAACTCAGTAACCCTGTTTGGATACAATGAATTTATGTAGTTATTGAGCCATGTCATGTGGGGGGCATCCACAGGGGCAGCTGCAGATATGCACATATAATGGAGTCATCCAGACTTCCTGAGACTACCAATTCAATTAATTGTATCCTAACAAAGATGTTTCAAGTACAAGAATATGTCTAGAGCTTCAGTGAATAGAAAAGGAGCCTGAAGTTGATGCTCAAAGGCAGACACACACATTTTAAACATATAGGTTATATAACCTGAGATTAATTCTTCCCTCTGAGACCATCCTGGGTTAAATATTGAGGTATTTCACCCCAATTACTACTATTAGGCTAAACTACAGACTACCAGAGGGCAAGCCTGTTTTGCTTCTACATGAAGTGGCTCTGGCTCTTGCTGAGTCCAGCAAGTAGATTTAGAACTGCAGGACTAAAAAGCCCAGGAATGGAGGAGACATAGGAATCTTAGACCTGTTTCAGGCGTGCTGATGGATTGGAGTCAGGGAGTGGTGGCTGTAGCCACCACTGGGTGTTTGAAGAAGTCAGATCTGAATTGGTGACTACTTTGGTAGACATGCATGCACTATTTTACAAAGGTTTCCTCTACATGCCTCTACAGGTATTACTACCAATAAGCCATTACTCTTCAGAAAGCCACCAGCTTTTAATTTTTAATGCCTGTAGCATAAATTTCTGAAGGAGAATTGCTGGCAGGAACCATCAGATAATCACGGGGTGCTGGAGCTGGGGCCTGCCCAGAGATGGGAAAACCACATCTCTTACTGGAAAAGAATAAGTCCTGAGGCTTGAGGCATTGCAGTCAGAGGGGAGTGTATGTAATAAAGATATCGTTAACATAGCTGCAGCTCATACAAGTGGGGAAGGGCCCTTCTGGGTCACTGAACCTTGCCAGCTGAGGCACCAGACCTACTGTCCTGGCCATACTGGTATTGATACCTGGGCTATGAGCCTGAGGCTCACTCAGGTGTACCTCCAAGTATTCAGTGGTATTCAGTGCTGGCTGACACGCAGACCATGAGTAGCTCTTGCAACCAGATACTCTCAGGAACATCAGCAGCTGCAGGTTTACCTTGTCTCAATCTTCTGAGAAATTGCCAGTTTACAAACACAAGAAGAGCATTTTTAGGCTTTTAAAAACTTCCTCTAATGTCTTATTTTTGGTGATGATGACTTCTGCAAGCCAGAGCACACCTGAGCTCTCCTCCCCATTACTTTACATGAATGTTAGATTTTGCTCATTTCCTTGGATGATTTTGTAGTGCATACATCCCACAAAGTTCTACAACTCTATGAATAGATGCTATTCATAATGGAAAAAAGATCTTGTAGACTGTTTTCCATAAGTACACAATAGGTAGGAGACATAGTAAGTGAATTTACTAACCACTTCTGGAGGGTTATTTGTGCTCCTAAACAGTTGTATATTGGTCCCTAAGGTCTTGTGGATCTAGACCTCTCAATATGCTTTTGGCTGCACTTTCTATGGAGATATTTGGCCTTGAAATCACTTAAGCCAACCTTTTCAAACCTAAATGCCTAATTAGGTATTCTCTTCCTACCTAATGCAAACGCCAGAAGTCCTTTCTATTCCTAAAGCAAAAGAACAAGGTTTAAAGCTGTCTCAGTAGCTCTGACTCCACAGGTACTGATGCAAGCACGTTCCCCTGCCTATCCAGATGACTATCATGCTAATGGCTCACTGCCTGCCTGTGGGCAGCCCTTCTGGGTGCACCTGGCACTGTTTAACCTGCTGGATCTGTTTAAAGCTGTGGGTCCCTACGTGCTCCTAATCGTGAACTTCAGCTGTGCTCAAATCCACCTGTGTGTCTTTCCATCGGAACAGCCTGCAAGCCTGGTTCCTGACAGTGGCCTGATCTGAACAGCCTGCAAGCCTGGTTCCTGACAGTGCCTTGAGCTGCCTGCAGCAGGCAGGACGGGCGGCCTCGCCAAGGACAAATTTTCAAGCTGGCCAAGACGCAACCTGGAACGACGGCGTGGTTCTGAGTTGTCCTTACTACACCTGCCCGCACCAAAGCTCCTTCCACCTTAACTTCATCTCCCACCTCACTCACATGTCCTTCTCCTGCAACTGCAGCCGCAGGCAGAAGCTCCCATAAACCGTGGTATTGCAAAGGGACGACCAGTCCGTAACCATTTGCTCTTGTACCAGAACTTAGTTTGCATGCACTTCGTCTGCGATGAACATTTTTGTTTAAATTGTTGAGGTCTGGACAAAAATCACTACAGAGATCAGGGAGCTGGGCAGTGGCCGTTCCGGGACGAGCCATCAGGGCTGTGCTGTGGGCTGCGCTCGGCCCCATCATGGTTTGACCGTAGCGCAAACTGCTCCTCCCTGGGCACCGCTGTGGCCTCCCCCGGGTACCGAGGTGCCTCAGCCCGCCGTCCTACACCACAGCGGCGGAGCCGGTCTGCTGGGGAACCTCCACTCGGTGCCAAGGTGAGACGGGGACAGGACCCGCCCGGCTCCGGGCACGGGTCTCGTTCGGCATCGCCCGCCCCTTCCGCCGGCGGTCCCGCCCTGCTCCCGGCAGCCCGTGCCGGCATGGCGGCGCCTGGCGCTTAGGGCCGCACGTGTGGGACTCGCTGTGGGGACCCGCCGCCGCCACCATGAAGAGCAAGCCCACGGCCCACAAGTCGGGCAACACGCACCGGGTGAGCGCCCGCCCGGACGCGGCTGCTGGCCGGGGGAAGGGAGCTCGGTGTTAGTGCGGCGGTCGTGCCCGGCTGCCGAAGCGGCACCGCGGCAGGAGGCGTGAGGCTTGGCGGCGTGGCGGGCTCCGCTCAGCGCTGCGAGGGTCCCGGCCGGGGCAGCGGGGCCGGAGGGCGGCTGCTGCCCCGTAGCGGGCAGCTCCGGCCGCCGGGTCACCGTCCGTGACAGGCAGCAGGCTCCCCGCCGCCCTAGCGTAGGACATAATTCAGTGAAATTAACCAGGGCTGTTTCAGGAAGGCTGAGAGCGGGGCAGTTTGCTGAAATCTGGGTAGATTTCTTTGCATCTCTGTCATGGTGTTGTGCAGACGCGTGGGCTGTGAGCCTCTGTGTGCAGGTTGCGGGGTGGAGGGTCAGTGCTGCTCCTGGGCGTTTTGCCTTCATCTTCTTGGAGGGCTGATATTGAGAGGTATTATCCGGCAGCCTGTCTTTAGAAGTGGGGTTTCTGTTTGCAGTGTGTGTACTATTGAGAGATTTGGAAGTGCTGTGCTCAGAATTGAGCAAGAAATGTGTCTTTTTTTTGCAGTTTCTTACCTTTTCGGAGCGCCTAAGCAACATTAATATTGATATTATTCATCGGATTGACAGAACTGGGAGCTATGCTGAGGTGAGAGCAGCAATTGTGATTATTTTCTGAAATAACATGACAAATTGACATAATCCATGAACGAGTCACTTAAGAAATTTATTTAGGAGGAAATTGGAAAGGAGCTCCTGCAAGAACTGCTTTTTCTGGAGCCTTATTTCATGCTTTGATCCCTTTTACTTTACCTGGTCTGCAGTATTGCCATTGAGGGACTTTGTCATTACCGCCCTGATGTCTTCCATGTGGTTGGTGGGCCTGTTTCTGATGCTGCTGTGCCATTTAGCAGTCCTAGGACCAGACTTAGAAAGACTTGCATGTGCTGAGTAGCTGAGTGGTTGCAATAGAATCTGAAGTTTGAAAATCATAAGCTGAAAAAGACCTCTAAGATTATTGAGTGTGACTGTTAACCTAACACTGTAAAGTTCATCATTAAGCCATGTCCCTAAGTGCTACATCTACACATCTTTTAAATATTTCCAGGGATGATTATTGAACCACTGCTCTGGGCAGCCTCTTCTAATGCCTGACCACCCTTTCAGTGAAGAAATTTTCCCAAATATCTAGTCTAAACCTCCTCTAGCACAAGTTCAGGCCATTTCCTCTTCTCCTATCACTTGTCATGTGGGACACATCACTTGTTACCTATGGACACCCACGCACTGGCAACATGTGTATAAAGTAGGAGCATGTGTCTTTATGGATCACAAGGACCATTTCTATGTGTCATATAAATCATCATTATGATTATAGCACTTTGCAGGGTATTGCCACCTGGCCTTCTGGATTGTTCTGAACTTCCCACTCAATAGCTGTGAGGACGCCAAAAGAAAATCCCAAGGCATTGTGCTGGGTGAACTATGGCTCAGCATCTTAGATTATCAAGGCCAGTCAACATAGGTATAAAAAGGAATTATGTAAACAAGTCCTGCATCAGAAAATGTTTTCAAATGTGTTTTGAATATTGAAAGAAAGGCTTATTTTCAGGGAAACTCCATAGTGCCTGTTGAAATGAGTAACTAAGATTTCTTAGAGTATTCTTTAAATGTTTAAGGCACTTGATAGTTGTCTTCATTTGAACCTCTCGTCTTTGCAGGACACAGTAGGGTTGGTAGCTATTTTTCATCTTTGTTTTGGCAGGAGGTTGAAACCTACTTTTTCGAAGGACTGCGGAAATGGAAGGAGCTGAACCTCACTCGCCATTTTGGTATGTCATTTATATTCATGTTTCCTGCTTCCCTTAGACTGCTGAAATATGGTTTTTCTTCATCCAGAGCCAAGTGGGAGACTATTGACTGGTTTTTGGACTGGGCTCTGGAGCACTGTTATTCTTTAACACCCCACATGCTTACCAGGGACTGGACTAGTTTTCAGGGCTTCTCTTTTGTTGTTTGAACAGTGCAATTCTATAATGAAGTGGCCAACAAATGCCAGTCCTTCAACCAGCTGGTTTATTACCAAAGTGCTGTTGTGCAGAGCTTGAAGACACATCTGCAAGTCGAAGGCAGTCTTGCTTACCAGCCCCTATTAAAGTAAGTATATGGTCACAAAAAGTAGTCATAAGCCTTGATGGTATTACAAGTAAGCATGACTCCTGTTGTAAGTGTTCTTTATCTTTATTGTGCTTGAGGAAAATAAGCAATGAGATGCCCAAAGTCGTCATATTTCCCTGGTAGAGCTTTATGGTTCTAAGTCTTCAAAAAAATAATGTTGTGACAAGGCAAACAAATTAGCTGGAGTGTGTACTGAATGTCAGACATTATATTAATGTGCTTTGTTTGACAGTAATAATTTGTTACCTTGTTTACTGTTATCTGCTTGATTTTTTGAAAATCTTAAGATTCTTGCTATCCCCAGGTGATATTAGGTGATAATAGGTGATATTTTTTAAAAAGTAATGCTGCCTTTCTTTCCGAGGGGACTGTGCTGGATTATGCAATGTTTGACTAGGTTTTGATTGTTTTGTTTTTGAAATGCACTAACACTGGTGTATTTTCTGAAACACAGTCTAGTGGTGCAGCTGGCTCGAGATCTTCAGGCTGACTTCTATCCTCACTTTCATGACTTCTTCCTGGCCATCACCAAGTTATTGGATACACAGGATACAGAGCTGTTAGAATGGGCTTTTACCTCTCTTTCCTATCTCTACAAGTATTTGTGGAGATTGATGGTGAAAGACATACACAATATATACAGGTAAAAACCATATTTAATGTCTGTCTTGATCAGCAGTTACTAGATGCTGTAGAAGTGTAAATGCCACATGAATGCATGGCTTAATTCTTCAGTGTACTTTTCAGCATGCTTTCTCAGTTTTTCTCAGAGAGGAACTGGCCAAGCTTCAGGGTGTTGCCAACTGCAGGGACTTCTGGGCTTGCAGAGTTCCTGAGCTGCAGGTGGTTGAAGGCTGATTATGTACTTGCTTGCTGTGTTTTTAAACCTTTCCCAGGTATCTGCTTTTGGCTGCTGCTGTAGACTGACTGAGCATGTGGCCTGACCCAGTGTGACCACTTGTTCAGTCTGAAATTGCTTATGTAGCTGGGCTCTTACTTTTGACATAGACAGTGGTTCCATGTTTCTTCCTCCTAAGTTCAGTTTGGAACAGATGGAGCAAAAAACTGGTTACAAATTTCCTCCCCAGCCCAGGCTAAGCTGTTGAACATATTGAAAAATGATCTGCTCAATTTGAGAGAATCTGAAGCACCACTCCCTCAGCAGTGAACCTGTGATGAGCCATCTGTCACTGTTACTGATACCAGCAAACTGCAAATATTTGTCAGCCTTGCAAACTGAATCTTTCAAAACTTTGAAGTGTACAGGAGAGCCTGTTGGCTCAACTGAAATACAAATCTGGCATATAAATCAACTCTCATTTCACTTACTGCTGCTAAACATATATTTGGAAAATCTTGATGCTGCAATTGAATCTGTGTAGATCTGCAGATTTGAAAGGTATTTCTGATTGTGGCTTAATTTGCCTGGCACTGTCATTTGACCTTCTTTGCAAAACTCTTGTTGTTTATGCAGAGAGAGTGGAAAGGAATATAGATGAGGGAAGGTATTGGCCCTCTCTAGGAGTACAGGTTCTTAGTGTTTGTAAAAAGTGGTAATGTAAACTGGAAACATTTTTTTAACCAGCTGATGGCAACTATTGCATTGCCCCTAAGACAATGGGTTATTTTGTGTCTTTCTAGCCTGTACAGCACCCTGCTGGCTCACCACAAACTCCACATCAGAAACTTTGCTGCTGAAAGTTTTGTCTTTCTAATGAGAAAGGTAAGTGGGATGTTTGTACTTTGGTGCTGTCTTAATTTTGGGGTAGTTTTTGGATTCAATGTGCAATATTAGCTTTTCTCCAGAGAAGGGTTGCAAAGCCTGAACTGGCATACAGTGTGTCCTGAGTTGTCATTTTTTGGTCATTTTGTTGGGTTGTTTGGTTTTTTTTGGTCATACTGAGAATGTCATGCATTCTATGTCACAAGTGGCAAATAGATGCCTTAGCACTCTCTGTTTAGAGACATTAAACTAAATGCCTGTGGTTGGTTTATCTAAAATGACTAGAAATAGTAAGGTAATCCTGCAGAAGGGAGGCTTGAATTTGTATGTGCACATTTTTTGCTGTCTTTTTCACCAGTACTTAAAGGCCTGTGTAGAACTGAAATTCTTGTGACGTTTTTCCACTCCTGAAGATCACTGTATGTAACATTTCCAGGCAGATCAGGCAGCAGCCTTTCATGGAGTAAGGAAAGGGAGCGTTAGTATTTGGGTTTTCTTTAGTCAAAATGTACAAAAACCAGGATTCCTTAGACTGGCTAGCAAGTTTGAGTATCCTCATTTTTGTCCTAAGTTGAGAGACCTTAATAAAGCATGTTCATTTGCTTGGTTGCTTTTGGAAATTTCTGAACTTTAAGTCAAATCCTCAGAAACTGAGGTGTTTACAATATTGGTCCAGAAGTCCCTGCAGTATCTCAAGTGTGGTTCTAGTTTTTGACAACTGGATTCTGTGTTCAGTTGATTCATGTCTCTGTCTCATCAGGACAGGGACTTTTTTGTTTCAGTTGTGACCAATTTAACAGCGCATTTATGCACGTATTTAAATGTGCATGAGAAGAATGAAATCCATATATTTCAGCTGCAGTGACTTCAGCAGACCTGTGTGCATTCTGGGGTTGTGGGAGCTGTAGTGACTGAATAGCTGATCAAATTTCTTCTTTGAATTTCCTTGTGTGGTCACAGAAATAATGAGTTTGAGCTGTTGTGGGAAGGCAGAACTAGGAGAACATGGTGCTGTGGAGCCTTTTGATTGTCTCTGTCCATCTGGCAGCTCTGAATAGAAGATGATGGTTTTTTCTCCTTATGTTTTGTAGGTTTCTGATAAAAATGAACTCTTCAATTTAATGCTCCGTGACCTGGGAGAGCACCCAGAAAAGGTGGAAGGTGTAGGACAGCTGCTGTTCGAGATGTGCAAGGGTGTTCGGAACATGTTCCACTCCTGTGCAGAGACGGTAAAAACAAGATTGCTGCTTTAACTGTTACTGTAACAGGCCTTAGGCAGTGCTCACTGAAACCAGGGCTGTTTTCTCCTTCACCTCAGTGGCTCCTTGGTGATAAGCATGTTGGTAATTACCTGGTAGGATCTGAAAGCCTTCTAAGAATATTTTTGGAGACAGGATGGTTGTTTTAAGTAATTCCTTTTCAGTATGCCTGTATGCTGAAATCACACTTCTTGCTGATATTTCAGATTTCAGGTGATAGCCTATTTTTTTCTCAGTTCTAGAAAGAATTGAGATCACTGGAATATTTTAGCAATACCTTGCACTAATTGATTTTAGGATTGCTAGATTTATTGTCTAAGTGTAAGATCACTATATACTCTTTTCCTGTGCAGGCTGTGAAGTTAATTCTGATGAAGCTGGGGCCTATGACTGAAGAAGAAATTGAGCTACCATGGGTAGCTGTTGGAGAAGCCTTCAAGCAGATGATCAAATCAGCTGCAGTGCATATCCATAAGGAGCATTTTGACATTGTCTTCAAGTGCCTGGAGGTACACTGATTGTTTTTCTTCTTACTGTTATTTTTTTTATTAATGAGTGCAGAGAAAATTCTGCACTTATTGTAGAAAGTGTTTGCATTCTACTGGACCAGAAATGAGTTTTTATCTGCTTTGGGAACACAAAATACAGAGTCATGGGAAAAAGTCCACTCTTCTTTTCTAAGCTCAGAGTTATCCTGGTGGCTGTTTTGTGAGTGAGAAGGGAGCTACTGCAGGTGAGACTTGGAACTCAGTCCTGTAGCTGGGCAAGGATGGTTTGTACAGTCTGCCTTTGCATGAACTGCAGAACCTTTGTTGGAATGTAGTGCTTGTTTTATGTTGCTGAACTATTGGTGGTTCAAAACCACTTTATGATAGTAAAAGGGAAGCTTTTTGCCCTTCAGAGCTTTTTAAGGCAAAGAGTTGGGTTAAACCTGGAAATCCAAGTTTGAGCCTTGCAGCCAAGTACTGAAAATCAGAATGTTTTCAGTCTGGGTGTTCCTGTGTTGCTTGGGGGTTGCACTGTGGTCTGAAGGAGCACAGCTGAGTGCTGTGGGCTGTGCTGTGTTGGATCTGGGTGATGTAGAATAATCAGCAATGACACAGCCTGGCAGCGTGTTTTACTTACCTGACCAACATTTAAAAGTTTGCAAAGATCTGGTAGGGGGATTGAAGCCTCTTGCAGCTGACAACAGACTGTGTCAGTTGTGCTCCTGAGAGGGATGAAACAGGAAACTGCAGGAAATGGTTCACATGAGCTTTTTTAGGGTAGTCCTTCCAGCATGGGTAAATAATTCCTATTGGTTCCTTCTTGAGGCTGCTTTCCTGTGACTAGCCAGTTTCCTAGAAAATCCCATCCTGTTCCTCTGGCCTCACCCAATGTGATAAGCAGTTCAAACCTGACTGTCATTAGCTACAGATTTGTTTATCACTGAATGTTTTGTATCCCTGAGGTTTCTTTGACTCAGCATCTGCAGTTGGTATGAAATCTTGGAAATTTGTGACATATTGCCCTTTATTTTTAATGAGGCTTTTTCTTTGACTCTGGGAACTGATGGATGCACAGGGGATATCTTGCTCAGAGCAAAGTATTCATGTAGTCTGTGATAGCTGTCTAAATTGAGTTCAGTTTGTTGGATCAAGGGTCAAAGTTTTATTTTCTGTCTCTGGACAGAAAAAAACTCTAATGTAGAATGTAAATTATATAAGTAATCTCTCAGCATCCACATTAGCAAAATGATGCATAAAGTGTAAAAGTCCCTAAATTCTGATAATTCCAGTGAAAGCTGGATGCTTCCAAACCATTGTAGGTGTGGAACCCAATATTTCTCTTTCCTACTTTGTATGTCAAGTATCAGTCTTTCTGAGGACCCTCGGTTTAGGAGTTCCTTGTGTTTCTGTCCAAGGAATCTGGGATGTGTTTTTACCTGAGGGAAATTTCACAGTGTTTCTGCACAGTTTAATTTGTGGAATATGTATGAAAGAGCCAACAATAGTTTGTTGGGCAGCTGAGATACTGATTCTTCTGAATGTCCTTCAAATAGCAGTAAGTGAAACAGTCTGTTCATTTATCTGAAGCATTTAAATTCTGCATTTTATTTAAACAGGAGTCACTCCTAGATTTGCAGAGGAAAATAACGAAGGTCAACTGCTCTGTGGCTTCAGAGCAGATGGAAAGGATTCTACAGGCTTATCTGATCTTAGTGGAACATGCAAATGGATCTAAAATCTCACTGCCTGAAGATGTCTGTCAGGTGGGTCACACTGGCACTTAGATGTGTCAGAGAGGTACTGTTTGAATATGGAAGAGGTATGGGCAGCTGAAGCATTTATACACATTTCTGATGCATCACTGGGCTTGGGATTTGAGCGAACAGAGACATACATATATTTTGAATATTGCTACTTCTCTGATCCTGTGGGATTTTACCTCTGTATGGTGATGTTAGTGTAGCCCAGCTTTAAATGAGCAATGGGGAAAATGAGCTACTGCTTCTAGAGTCTGTTCCTGCCACTGTGGAGGAGATCCCCCCCCCATATCACTGGTATAGAGCATTTCTGCCAGATTCATGTACATTGACTAGGCTAGATTTAGGGCCTTCAGACTTCAGTGGGGCTATTAGTATTTGTTTCTGTGGGCTGAAGCTTAGAACTCTGTGCCCTCCTGGTCCAGGAACTGTCCAGGCCATTCAGACCAGATAATCATTATCTTCTTGGACAAATATGAGTTCTCTCTTTTCATTTCAGGTTTTAATGAAAATGTTACAGACACCATATCTCTCATCATCTTGCTGCAAGATGTTGCTGAATGCCATTTCTGCATTCCTGCTGGCAGAAAATGTTTTGTTGCCAGATTCTTTGACCAAGGAAGCTATTCAAAAGGTAACAAGGATTGCTGCTTATACCACAAATCCCAGTCTTCAAATTCCCTAGAGCAGGGTGATTTCTGGACATTCTGTTTCAGGCTAGGAAATATGCTGTAAGGTTCCCTTCAGCCTTTTTGCACAGATAATGAAGAACTTGCCCAATGCCCTAAATGAAGTCTGATGATATGTTGGGGTTACCTGACAATCTTGCACAGGCTGTCAGTATAGCAGTGTCTCCATGGCAGACATCATTGTAATGAAATCCAGGCTTCAATTCAAACACCTACAGCCTCTGTAGAGAAAGGAAGGAGAGCAGTGAAGGAATGCATCCTACCTGTGGTGATAAAGCAGATCATTGAGTCAAACTTAGTGAAAAAAATAAAAATCATTAAGTTTCCAAGCATTTAATGAGCATGCATTAGCCTTGTGGACAAGGTTCACACAAGTGCACTTTTGATTTAGAAAGTACAGGGGTAAGCATATTTCAGTAGTACCTTTGCTCCTGGAGCATTGACATTATTAGCTGCATACATTTCTAACAAATGTAATGTGTTGCAAAGATCAACAGGAGATTATACTATGGAGTCTGATTCTTTAGTTTTCATGTTACAGGAAATTATAATTTTGCAATTAACAGTGTGGACCATAGTTTGTAGTGTGTATGAAAAAATATTTCAAATAAAAATGCCGCCCAATTTACAACGGGAAGGCAAGACTTCAGTTGTTTAAAGGAGATCAAATTTCATCTGGTCTTCAGTGTTGACTTGTGCTGAAGTAAGATTGGTTTTGCCTGTGCATGAGGCCAGTTTTGCTCAGCAGACTTCGTCAAACATTTGAGGATATTTGTGTAGGTTTGTGTTAAACTGGAGGAGGCTTAAAGCTGTCCTTGTGTTCTGAAGGGTCTGGGAAAGAGAGATCTGGGTGTGTCTTTTATCTTGGCATTGAGGAGTGCTGATCCTGGGTGTCCTGAAGGACTATTCCTGTTTTGGATCCTTCAAAAGCACAGAGGTTTGCTCTGCCCATGAGGTAGTAAGCTTTCTGCAGCGTGCTGCAGAGAAAAATGCCAAGTTGAAATATGTTTTGGGCCTAAGCTTTTTCCTAACACTTAGTGTGTGTGTGCTGCAGTCCTAGAACTTTCAAATTCTGTTCTCCATATCACACAGAAGAGATAGCTCAATTGTCTTTGCACAGAGACAGTAGGATCCAGCAGTGTTGGTCAAAAAGGGTTGTGTCAGTAGGGTTTGTTAAAAAGGACTGTGCATTTCTGTACCTGAACTGTCACTTGGAAACAGTGCTGCTCTGTGTGCTGGAATTAGCAAGAGGGCCAGGCAGAGTATCTCAAGAGTTCAAAGAATGCTTGAATTGTATACCAGAAAACATGTTCCATGGGTAGTGAAGAGCTCACTATGAAATGTCTCTCATTCTGCAACCTTTCACTTGCATCTTGCAGGTATTTGCAAGTAGATTTGAACGGCATTTTCTTTTGGACTTCTCTGAAGCAATGTTCACAATGAAGCAATTTGAGAGGGTAGGTGGAAGTGATTGTGCATTATGTTTATTTTTGTTGCTAAAGGGAACTGGAGATTCCACAGTATACTTACCTGCTTTGAATGCTGAAAGATTGTTGTGTATTGACATGATGTTTATTTAAACTTCTGTTATGATCTGATAAGAAGGAAAGTGGTTACGTGTGCTATTGTGTTCAAGTTGTTAAGGGTTCTCAGGGTTGGAGAACATGATAGGTATCTGTTCACAAAAAGAAGCTTGTTAAGAGAGTGAGTGTGTTATGGGTGGGAGGAAGAGAATGAGTTCTGGAGAAACTAAGGGGAAATGAAGAGTAAGCTGTATAAGTGGTGATCTGGGAGGTATCAAATTAATTAAACAGAATGAGAGGTGAAAGCCAAGTCAAGGATCTGGAGTGTCCTGATAAGACTGGATTTGGTGCAGAATGAGTTTTTGCATTAAATTACAGTCCCTGCTGGTGTCTAGGGGCACCAGAACTGATAAGTCCAATGCTTTGCTGGCTTATTTGTGAGCATTTATATTTCCCTGTGGTTGGTGTCAAGGGTTTTTTTGTGGATTTGATGATGATTAAAAGACTTTCCAATCTTTGACCTTTTTTTTTTTTTGGTCTCTTCAGCATTTTCTCCCATGCTTTCTAGAATACATTGAACGTTGCTTCTCTGGCACAGATGCCATCACAAAGGATGAGGCCGTGGCAATTCTGGCTAAACTCATTTTGGTGAAAGCAGAACCTCCTACAATTGGTTCAATGGCATTTGAAAAGTATCCTCTTGTTTTCACTGAGGCATCTGTCAGGTGAGACTTGTCAAGTTTAGCTAACACTAGATGTGTCTGTGTGGCTCTAGGCCTGAGGGCAGTGCAGAGCACATAAAAGTTGCCCTCCAGTATTTGCTGGAGTTGCATAAAATGGCAGCATTTTTGGCAGATTTGCAAACCAAGTGATATAGTAGGACATCACTTTGCTTTTTGGAATCATATGAGAAGAGATGCTGCTTTGGAAAGGTGGTCACTGATACAAACAGTGTTGTGGTGCACATATGGTGGGGATCTGTTACACCGTGATGCAAACTGCATCCCTTGGCAGTTAATCTTTGTAGTGAGTGCAGCAGTTCAGCTTCTCATCATTGCCAACCTCCTGCCTGTGCCCCAGCTTTTCTCCCTGTATGCATATGTCTTGTCCAGGAGCTTTCTTGGCAGCAGTACAATAGCCTTGCCATAGAACACAGCTGGACATCAAAGGACATGTAATTAATCCAGAAGCAGCACTGTGCTGGCACAGCTTGACTGCTTTTAGTTGCAAACCTAGCTTGGTTGCAATGAAGTGGTTGCTTTCCCCAGAGCCTCTTTAGAGAATTAGGGGTAACCACTGAAGCACAGAATGACCATTGCTAATTTAATGATAGAGATTTTTCTAGTAGTTCTGACTCAGCTAATTCAAAACTTTTGACTTTGCATTGCCTTTTATGTAAGGTCTGGTTTTTCCTTTAAGCAGTCTACTCTGTGTGGTTCTTTTCGTATTTTTATTTAATAGTAGTAGAAGCACTGAGGTTTTGGGAACAGAAAGTTGAGTCAAAATTATTAAATTGGGTTTTCTTCTCTTGTTTTCTTTGTTTCTTGATTTCTATTTTTTCAGTGGTTTGGAGCACAGAGCTGCAAGGACCTTGGTCCTGTTTGGACTGTTTTTTTGTGCTCTTGCAAAGAGTCAGTAGTGTAAATTACTGTCAGGATACATCTCAAGAGTTGCATACCCCGTCTCCTATCTAGTTTTTAAATACTCCAATTCTGGAGATTTCTGATCTGCTTCTGGCAGTCTGTGCCAGTACTTTGGTATCTTTATACTTATACAGTTGTTTTTTTATTTATTTGGTCTTTTTGACTTTTGGTTTTTTTCTTGGGTTGTTAGGGGTTTTTCCCCCAGTCCTCGGTGTATAACTTCAACCTTCTTTACAGCAGTTTAAATCCCTTGCTGCTTATCTTATCTGCTGGAAACATAAAGAGCAGAATATTTCTTACTCTTTGCATCAAGCTTTTACAAAGAGCAGGCTTTCATCATCATAGATGTCTTAAGATCTTCTTTCTCTAGACCGACAATCCTAATTCCTTGAGGTTTATCTCATAAATTTATTTTCTTAAGCCTCTAATAATTCTTATTGTTGGCTTTTTATGAGCTTCTGTATTTCTTGAAGAGTGAAGCCTATGCAGCTTTCTGGCCGTGATCTTGCAAGCACTGGGTGGAATGGAAAGATTGCTGTGCATGAGTGTGAAGGACTCCTGTTCATATGTTCCAGTATGGTGTCAGCCCTTTCTGCCTGCAGATAGGCTTGTTGGCTTGGGCTCACCTTGTGATTCCATTTAAGTCCCAAAACTTTTACCTCACTGATTGTTTTCCGTCATCCATCTGTGTCAATGTTACTGTGGTTTATTAACAACAGTTGTAAAAATGACTCTCAGGTGTCTATATGTCCCAGCTGTGAGGGTGTTCAACTGAGAGCCAGTGTCTTTTCTTCTAGAAATATTATTTGAACTTGAAATAAAGAGCTGACATTTCTTGTGGGCCATGTTTTGTGCTCTTCAGCATGACTAGATGATGTTTTGTTAAGTAGAGGATATGGAGAGGAAAAAAAATCTCTTGTGTTATGCAAGTCCTTTTTGCTAGAAGTAGAAAACATAATTTTGAATATCATAGGAGCAAAAGGAACAATCTCTGATATGCAGTGGTGAATTATTAAAAATTTTGGGTTTATTTTTAGCTCTAATACAAGGCAACAAACAAGTAAAAGACAAGGAGAAAAGACAGGAGTACCAGTGTTGGATCATGTACTGTCCTTAATGCATTTACCAGAGAAGGAAGACATCACTGACCTTTCACAGTCTTGGGTTGCCTTGGTTGTACTACCACATATAAGGTAAGGGATATTCTAAAGTACTGTTGTCATGTATTTCTGTAGTACTGTCTACTTTCTTACTGCCTGTTTGCTGTCTTTCTGTAAGGAATCACTTTACTAAGGAAAAGACGATAAGTGCTAGTGCTAGGCTCAGGAAACTGGGGTAAGAAGACAAAAACAAGTGCTGCATGGAAATACCATGAGTCAACAGTAAAGACAGGAATAGAATATCAGCTTCTTGATTGCCTACTCACTAAATTTGGTGCTTTAGTGTATAGAGATGTTCTTGACACATTTCAGTTTGTGTGTTTTAAGCACTATCCTCTCTCAACAGTATTTTTTCAGTAATTATTGAAGGACTAGTTAGAAAGAAGATGCAGTGAAGGCTACAACTTAAATTGTGAGTCAGAAATAGCAAAAACGTTTTGCTGCTGGTTTCAAACTTGGAATGAGCTACATGTAATTTAATAGAGGTAAATGGGATAGAAAATTTTATATGTATGTCAGTGTAACAGAAATAAAAGTCTTCCCATTTATTTTGAACAGACCAATGAACAAAGACCACATCCTGCCTCATGTGACAAGTTTTATAGACTCTCTCTTCACAGCCATTGACAAAGGAAGCCTCTGCAAAGGTCAGTTAGTTACTTCCTGTTTATTTGCTTTTTGTTGATATAAAAAAAATAAAAGCAATTTTTATGATTGTACAAAGCATGAAAATGAATAGTGGTAGCATTGTATCCAAAATTACCAGCTTGACTTAAACTAGAAGAGCAAAGCTTGGGAGGAAACAACCTCCAGGAGACAATGGAGGAACATTTGCTCTTCATAATAATGATGAGGTGACAGATGTCCTGCACAGTGGAAGACAGAGGTAATTGGGAAGGAAAAGAAGAAAGTGAGAAAAAAAAAAGAGGAAGAAAATCTATCTAAATCAAATTCAAGCTGAAGCTGTCAAGTGAAGGAGAGACTATTGACTCATAAGCTCCAATTCAAACCTGTAGTGCAAAGTTTAGGACATTAGCATCTGTCAGTGCATAGCTACTCATCAGTGACTGCTATAAACTCCAATTAAATATCATTGTCTCAAACCCTTTGAGCTCCATGTTGGGTGCCAAAAAAGACCCTTATGGTTTAACCCCAGCTGGCAACTAAGCCCCACCCAGCTGCTCACCTGCTCATACTTGTCCAGTGGGATGGAGCAGGGAATCACAATAGTAAAAGTGGGAAAGTTTGTGGACTGAGATGAAGGCAGCTTAATAGGTAAAGCAAAAGCTACACACAGAAGCAAAGCAAAAGAAGGAATTTTACCACTTCCTATGGGTGGGCAGGAAACTTCCAGGAAAGCAGCATTATGCCATGCATAATGGTGGCTTGGGAAGACAAGCACCATCACTCTGAACATTCCCCAGTTTATCTGCTGAGCATGACCATATGGTTTGAAATACCCCTTGGGTCAGTTGGGGTCAGCTGTCCTGGATGTGTTTCCTCCCAGCTCCTTGTGCACTCCCAGCCCACTCACCAGTGGGCTGGTGTGAAAAGCAGAAAAGGCCTTGATGCTTTGTGAGTGCTGCACACTGATAACAAAAACATCCCTGTGTTGTCAACACTATTTTCAGCACAGATCCAAGCCAGAGACTCATACCAGCTGCTATGCAGAAACTCAGCTCTATCCCAGCCAAAACCAGCACATTCTCTGCCTGTTATTCAGTACCATTTATGTCATGCTCAGGTACCACACTATCCAATGCAGCCTCATTATCCACCTCTTCCCCTCCCATCCTTTGATGCAATATCGTTCCCCTAGTCTGTGGACCACCTCTGTAAAATGTTCACAGAATATCTGCTGAGTTCATTTTGACCACAAATCTGGGTTCCATCTATTATGGTGGTCACTCAGGACAGGAGGGTTGGTGTCCTGTGTGGTATTGTTTGCCACCAGAGTCAGCTCATGTTAATTCACTGCTGCACTTAACACTGCTTCTTGTAAAGCTTGTCCTCCATTGGTTTGGGTGGTTCCTGCTATAGGAATTCCTACAACATGTGACTTAGACCTACAAGATGCTACTGAAATGGGTTACAACAATTTAAAGTAGTATCTTTTATAATCTCCACCCCAGTCCCTTTGGGCCAGGCCACAGGGCTTAACATTGCAATGAACTCTTCTCCTTGCCCCTGCTGGGGTTTGAATTTCCCCACAACCTTGTTAGGGGCAGTACCTGCTCCAAGTGGAGTCTTACCTAGAAGTCCCAGTTTTTCCTGGGGTATACCTGCTGTGGTGTAGGCTTCCCCATCACCACAGGTGTTTTGGGGTGTACCTGTTCCAGGGCAGCCTTATCCATGGGCCACAATGATATGCCTGCTCCAAATGTGGCCTTACCCATGGCTGCTCTCCCTCAGGAGTGTACCTGCTCTGTCATGAACTTGTCTGTGGCCACACACTTTGAGGTGCTCCAGCATGACCTCATGCATAGCTGGGGAGGACTCACAGTGTACCTGCTGCAGCATGTACTTACCCACAGGCACAGATGCTTCAGGTGCACTTTCTCCAGCCTGGATTTACCCTTGGGTCACAATTCCTTCAGAGGTACACCTGCTGCAGCGTAGACATAACTAAAGCCATAGCTGCTTTGAGATGTACCTACTTTGTCATGGACTTAACCTCAGCCAGCAACTGAGCCCCACACAGCTGCTTGCTTACTCAGCAGGGATGAGGGGAGAGCATCAGAAGAGTAAAAAGGGAGAAAACTCAAAGGTTGAGATACAGATAGTTTAACAGATAAAGCAAAAGCCATGCATGCAAGTGAAGCAAAACAAGGAATTCATTCACCACTTCCCAAGGGCAGGCACGTGTTCAGCTATCCCAGGAAAGCAGGGCTCCATCACTCATAACAGTTACATGGGAAAACACATGCCATGCCTTCTTCTTGACCCTGTTTTAAATGCTGAGCATGGTGCTGTCTGATAGGGGATATCTCTTTGATCAGTGGGGTCAGCTGTCCCAGCTGTGTTCCGCTGGGGGAGTTAGTTTTCCTCACAGTGGCTGGTATGGGGCTGTGTTCTGGATTTGTGCTGAACACAGGGTTGATAATACAGAGATGTTTTTGTTACTGCTGAGCCTACTGCTGCTGCCAGGGCCTTTTCTGCTTTTCATGGTGCCATGCTGCCAAGGAGGCTAAGGGTACATGGCAGGCTGGGAGGAGGCACAGTCAGGACAGGTGACCCCAGCTGTCCAAAGGGTATTCCAGACCTTACCTTCATGCTCAGTATATAAATTGTGGGGAAGGAGGAGGAAGGGAGGGGATGTTTGAAGTGATGGCATTTGTCTTGCCAAGTCACCACTACATGTGATGGGGCTCTGCTCTCCTGGAGATGGATCAACACCTGCCTGCCCATAGGAAGCAGGTTCTTGTTCTGTTTTGCTTGTGTGCGTGGCTTTTTTGCTTTATCTCAACCCACAAGTTTTCTGCTTTTACCCTTCTGATTTTCTCCCTGATGCTGCTGGTGGGGGAGTGGGCAGGTGGCTGCAGGGGGGTTGGTGGCTGGCTGGAGTTCAAAGACAACACCTCTCCCAATGCCTTGTGTACCCCCAGCCTCCCCACTGGTGGAGTGGGGTGAGGAGCAGGAGAGGAGCGGGGAAGCCCTTGGTGCTGTGTGAGTGCTGCTCATTGGTAACAGAAACACCTTTCTGTTATCAGCAGTTTCCAGCACAAATCCAAAACAGGGCTACATTCTAGCTGCTATGAAGAAAATTGCCTCTATCCCAGCCAAAACCACCACACCATCTCTGACCCAAGTGGCACCACCAGTTCTAAATGCTGCATCTTTTCTCCAGGAAGAGATGGTTACTGGTTGTCTTCCCTCTCTGGCCAGAAAAAAAAAAAAAATTACCTGAGCCTGCATAGAGCAGGGCAGTTACTCAGAGAGCTGGAAAGTATTTGACCTTGTGACAAGCTATAAACAACTTCTGGAATGCTCCAGGTTGAGTGTTCGTTGTTCCTTTGTTTGTAAGGGCTGTCTGTCATTTTCCATTTATAATACCTTTGTTAGTATTCCTAAATGTATCCACCAATCAGCTCTATTGCTTTTCCTTCTTTAAAGAAGCTTTGTCAAGCATTTAGGTCTTTCTTTTATCATATTTGCAGGTTTTTCATGCTGTCATGATTGTTTTATTGGTAATGTACTTAGCCTAAAAAACCCAAGAATTTATTTTCTTGGGTCTCATCTTTGCTGGCAGTAGTAGCAGCACTGCTCAGGCTCTGTTTGCATGCCAGAAGCACATTGCTATTTCTTCCTTTGTTGATAAGGGAAAAGAAAATAAATGCATCCTCACTCCTGTACTCATGCCTCCTCTTGTCCCATATTACCCTTATTTGCTTGTTTTTCTTCACCCTTCCCACAAACTAGAGTTCCTGGATACTTTTTTCATCCCCTGCCATTCTTTCCACCTCCATGATTCCTGCAATTCCTTCACCTTCTGCTAGGACTCCAGTCCACTGTCTGTGCAAGGCTCCCAGCCCTGTACTCTATTTGACCTTCCTGCCCTTTGAGCCCTGAGGCAAAGTGCAAGTTCCAGAACTGGGTGTTTTTGGTGTTCTGGTTGCTGTGGAGTGCAAGGAAACAGGCTAGAAAACTGGGTCAGAGCAACAGCAAGGTATCTCTGGCAACTCCTCCGGGCCAGTATGAAAGTGCTTCCCTTATTGATCACACAGCAGTGTCTGTAGTGAGGTGGAAGCTGCTGTCTTTGTCCAGCATGGGCATACTGCTACCAAAGGGCATGCAGATTGCACCCTGGGAACTGTCCTTACACTATAGATGCAGAAAGTTTCCTCCTGTCGTTACTTGATGTTTCTTCTCTCTTTGAGGAGCTCCTTGTGGAGGTTAATGGCTAGCAGGATCTGGGAAATCACATACCTGGGGAATTAAGCAACTGGGAATAGAGGAATTAAGCAACTTGGAATAGAGGAATGTTCGCAGAGAAATAAATAGGATATGAATGCTCACTTCTCTTTCTTTTCCATTGGCAGCATATAAGACATTTAAATCTTCTAAAAACTTTCTTGCATTTGCCTGGTTTGGGAACAGTATTTCTTTAACCTGGAAAGACATGAAGGAGGGGAATTATCATTTTTTTTATTTTTTTAAAAGCAACCTATTTGCTAACTTTGAAGTGTGATGGGAAAGGAATTGCCCTTTCTTGCCTGGCAGGGCATTGGCTATCTTGTGCCTCTGGGAAACCCTCCATCTCAAAAGGAGTCTGAGAGGTTTAGAAAGGAGACAGAATTCAGCAAACCCACCTGCCATTCACTAATACATACTCAGTCTTTACGTACGTGGGGCAGCTTCAAAGATCTTACACATAGTAGTGCATTGCCAAAGTTTCAGAGTTTATAGGCACCTGTGTTGTGGTAGCATCCGTATGTATTTTTGCTTTGTTTTTGCTACATTCATATCAATTTGGCAGCATTTCTTCCTTTTGAGCAGAGTGCTGTCTGTGACTCCTGCCACAGTGCTTAGCTCCAGATCCCTGCTTTCTGCACACGTGGGTGTGATGGAAACATGCAAACTGGGAGCTGTCACAGCTTTCAGTGCTGGCTTGCTGGAGGAGGCACTTACTTTGATAGCCAGGGAAGCACTTCTTTTATGTGTTATGGTTATGTGTTATGGTTAGAAAATATACATGCCAGTTCTGGGCTCCATATGCTGCCTTATTTCTCTGACTCCAGCCGTTTCAGGATGGGAATGCACCATACAAGCACAAGTCACTGAGAGCTGAGTAAATTTACAAGATGTTCTTGTTCTTTCTCTGCTCCAGGAAACCTGTTTGTGGCCTGCCAAGCTGTAAGTACTCTCCTTAGTTTGGTGGAATCTGCTGAAGTACTCCATTTGTTACCTGTGGAGCGTGTCAAGAGCTTGGTGACGTAAGTAAACTCTGCCTGTTCTATGGTTTTCCTTGGTAGGGCAAAAATTTGCCTTTGCCTTTATATAAGAGCTGGTTAAATGCTTCTTTGTGTGCTGTCCATTCTGTTATGCTGGTGCATTGCTGGTGCATTGCTTCAGTATTGTGGTTATGTAATGGAGCAAAGTTGTAGGCTCTTTTTCTGGAGAGCCAGGTAGATGTAGTTCCTGTTCAATGACATTTTCTCTGCAAACTGATGCTTTCTTAGCTGCAGGGTAGTGTGTCAAGTAAGTTGGTTCTAGTTTTATGTTGGAGTGCTACCCTGGTTCTAGTTTTGCTTTGGAATGCTGCACCTAGTAATTCTGTGTTATATTATAATGACAAAAGAGACAGGAACAGCACTTTCTGAGCTGTGTCAAAAGCCTGAGTTTGCTCCTGGTGTTGGGATTCCACCATGTCCTTACATACCCATGTTTGTGCTTGCTCCACAATGGGAGGAGATTTTGTATACTCCATTTTATTTATTTTCACTCTATTTAACTTATAATTAGCACAGAAAACTCTCTGGCTGGAGGGACAGAGAGAGAGCTGAATGCTCTCTCTAGCATCTCCAAGTCTTTAGTGGCTTGAGCTTCAAAACATCCTGTTCATTTAGAAAGTTATGGTGCTCATGTCTGAGGCATGATGGAAATAAAACAACTTGCCCAGATCAGACAGGAATTATTGGCAATGAGCTTTAGCCTAATGCTTTCCTGTCAGCCCTGTGCAGGGAATGTGAAACCTACTTGGAGCAAGGGATGTAAGGTAGCAGAAGGAGGTTTCTCTGTGAGCAGACAGGATTCCTGGGGTCTCACCTAAACCTAGATTATTTCTCTTCTGTTGAAGTTGATCACTGACTGAGCACCTGGGCAGTATCAGAAGCCCTGGTGTGACCTATGCAGGTTTATTTTCTGCAGCTGTGTGTCCAGCATGCAAACCTCAGCTTGACAAGTCTTATTGACACAAAGGAGGGATCTCATGCCTCTTGGGCTGTCATGGGTTTTGCAGCTACAAGTCATTGTGCTGGTGAAGTCTAATTTCAGTGGCCTGCTGGTGCAAGCAGAGTCTGAAATCATGGAATTTTCCCTTAATGTTGTAGTTATCACTACTGCCTTGTTTTTTAATACCAGTATTGTTGCAGTGCTTTCTGTATGCTAATAAAATCATCTGTTGTTTTAGCACTTTCCCTTCAGACCCCTCTGCATTGCTGTTGGCTGATCTCTATTACACGAGGCTGGCACTATGTGGCTGCCAGGAGCCCCTTTCCCAAAGGAACCTAATGGACTTGTTTGAGAAGTTGCATCCTAATATTTCCACTGGTGTTTCCAAGGTAATCTGCTGTTTTGAGCACGTGCAAAGTAATTTGTATTTTAACAATCAAACATAAGTAAACTTAGTTAAATGATAAAGTCTGGAAGGAGAAGCATGATGAGACTGTAAAGCCATTGCTTCCATAGTGTCTGCTTAGACCTGTGTCAATGGGGCATGAGTCAACAGAGGTTAACTGTTAGCCCTGTCAGCCTTGCCTCTTCCCTAGAGCTAAATCAGGGCAGCAGCATAATGCATTCACTTCTAATTGCTTTCTAGACTTCAGGAATTCATCTGTTTCTCAGCTCCAAGATGGACCCAGTGAAATCAGTGTGCTGTACTAGACATTAACCTCTCTGGAGGTGTGTATTTGTCAATTCATATTGCCTGACATATGTTTCTCCTTGGAATAGGTCCGGCTGTTGACGGTTCGAATTCTAAACCATTTTGATAATCCACCTTCTGCACAGATTGAGGTAGGGCTAAAGCTTTTCATTTAACATTTCAAAGCTATCTGTGTTTCATGTTTTGTGTGAAGTGTTGTTCACTTAGCAGAAACTAAATGTATCTGGTAAAGGTGGTCTTCTGCTTTTGTCCTTTCACATTCCAGTCTTATTTCTTTGTCCCCCACCTCCTGGTGTTTTCAGATGTGTGCCTAAATGGTGAAAACCAGAGCAAGTCCTTTGACTTTGTTCTTTTGTCCAGAATGGCCGTGAGTCTGTATAGTTTTTTTGAAGTACTTTTCAATGAGATAAAGGTACTCTAACAGAATTCATGTCACTTGTTTGTTCAGGGTGATGGCACAGGGGAATTCCAGCCATTATTTGCCATATTGCTCCAAGCAGAACTTGTGCCAGCAACAGTGAATGATTACAGAGAAAAACTTCTCCATTTGAGGAAACTAAGATGTGACATAGTGCAGCCTGCAATACCAAGTGGATCTTTACAGGAGGTAAGGATTTATTGTCAAAAAGCAGTTGTCACATTCCTTTGTTCCAAGAGAATGTTCTTATTTCATCACATGGATTGCAGAGTTTTTAATGAGAGTGTATCAAAAAAGTCAATTAACTCTCAGATTAGATTTTAGAAAACTTACTTGTTAGTAGGGTTCACAGATCCCATTGTCCTCAGGAGTACTGTGTTTAGTAATACAACAGTGGTATCCAGTTAAATGGCCCACAGTCAGATTAATCTGGACTTGATGTCATGGAAAGGAAGGCAAGTGATTCCAGGGAGAAACGAGATGTGAGCAAATTTAAACTCATGACCTTGCCATGTCCTCAATGTGGTTGAACATTGGTAGGGCTCTCACTGGCTGTTGGTGACCTCACTTCTGGATCTTGCTTCAGCAGGAAATTTTTTATGCCTGTAATTGTTGAATGTCCTCTGCTGCTGAGCTAAAGAGGGCCTCACATCCATGAGGAAGGATTGTAGGTCACTCCTCCATGTAGCTCAGTGAGGAGCCAGCCTAGAGATCATGCCATTAGGCCTAGTGCAGTGAATACTCCTCTGGGCAATCTTTTATCTGTCTGAGGTCCCCCATTTTGCTGTGGCAGCACTGAAGTTGGTGAGAGAGACAGTCCAGATCATCTGCTGAACTGTTTTTTCCATATTCATGTTATTTATAGTTATAAGGTCTCAGTGTAGCTTACAGTAAATGGGTTCTGGATTTCCACATGCAGCTATGAGGAAGGAAATGGGTTCTAGATATTCCACATGAAGAAATTATTATGTATGTGACATCCTTCATCTCTTGTAGCACTCCTGAAAACTTCTTAGACCAAAGTTTCCTCTTTGAGAGAAAGAAAGGTTAGAGGAGCTTGGTTGGTCTTTAACTGGTGTTTTTTGCATCTCACAAGATGGTGTTGTGTGTCATTCTAGGTGCCTCTTCGGTATTTACTAGGAATGCTTTATATTAACTTCAGCCCTCTCTGGGATCCTGTAATTGAACTTATAACGTGAGTATATGCAGTTGGATGCTGTAATCTGTGGTTGTGTCACATTCCTTTCATTCTTCTGTGAACTGAAGCTGAGGTAAAAAATGTCCAGTTTGGAGAGATTTGTACATGAGAACCTTCATGTGAGATCTTCTGAAATTAATTTGATCTCTCAAATTTCAGCCTGTGTAGACTCTTCAGTTTACTTCCTGATTTTTTATACTTCAAAGCGAACTTGCAACAAATACAGTCAAATAGCATCAGAGTTTCAACAGGAGTTTTTAGTCAGAGGTAGCAGGATTTGATTTATGTTTCACAAATGCTTAAAGGAACAAGAAGTCTCTCTGTTTCCTCATCTGCTAACTTTTCTGTCCTTACTGGAAAACCTCTAAATTGTACTAAAGAGTAGGGAAGTCTTAGCATGGTGAAAAAATAAGTGACTTCTTTCAGCATGACTTCATCTTCTTTTTTCCTCCCTTTATTGTATGATTAAAAAGGATGGGATTTTCCTCTTCAAACCAGTGAATTAATTAAAGAAAAAAATTAAACCAGCTCTTCAAAAGATATGTCCGTGTTAATTCTTCCTTTGATTCTATATGATTTGCTGTACAGAAGTCAGTAGAAAGCTTGAGAATATTTTTACTCAATTTGAGTTCATTTGAAGTCATGGGATACAACCAGATTATTTTAATAACAGCTGACATTTGGGATCCATGAGAAAAGGCAAGGAGGTGCTACAGCTGCATTGTGCAGATGTCCTGTCTCTGGACAGCCACATTAAAGCGGTGATCAAAGCCTTTGATTGTGATGGTTGATAACTAGCTGAGTGACGCTTGCCTTTTCTTATCTTCCTTCTGATTTCATGCTGTATTCTGTTTTGTTAGTTCTCATGCAAAGGAAATGGAGAATAAACAGTTCTGGAAGGTCCTGTATGAACATTTGGAGAGGGCTGCTAGCTATGCTGGTAAGTCACCTATCCTAAGCATGGTTATCGTAGCAACCCAGCTAAATGGTGAATTATGTTCCTGCTTTTCAAGTTCCCCAAATTTATGTAGGATGGAGGAATTGAGAACCAGTACTGCTCTCGTGTCCAGGACAGGAGTGGAGAGGCTTGTGAGGAAGCTGTGTCTCCTTCCTAAACACCAAGCAGTAGCTGGAAAAGGCCACCTGCGTTACAGGAGGGAGTGGCAGGTTGTTGGAAACCCTGCAGCAGTTTCATCTTTGCTTAAGGCTGGCACTGCTCAGACTGGTCAGGAGCAGTGACAAAGCCTGTGTAATGGTGCAGACCATCTTCCTGCTCCGTGGAATTTCTGCACATAGTCCTTGTGTGGGCTCTTGAGGTTTACCTATGGGCATATGCAATCTAATATTTCAATAGAGTGTGTGCAGCCATTTGTGAACTTCCCTGTTACTCAGGGGAACTGAGCCCAGTAGAGAAGTGCCAGGGTTGCAAGGCATCCTAGAACGCTTTCTAAGCAATGTGTGTCTTTCAGGTCAGTGGTAAATACAGTTGTGTCTGAACAGGTGCATGTCACCAAATGTATTACTTTTGTGATGGGGGATGGATTCCTTGCTATTGGTGATGAAGTAACCTGAAAAGATTTTCTTATCTCTTCCATAGAAATGGAGCTGCAAGATGAATTAGATGAACAGGAGGAGAGCATTGCTGAAACAGAAAGTGAGAAGATGCCAGAAGGAGAGGTGGGGACTGTCTTTCTGGAGCAGCTGAGGAGTAGAACAGATTGCAGTGAACGGCTGGACCACACAAATTACAGGTTCCTACTTTGGAAAGCACTGGATAAGTTTCCAGACAGAGTGGAGCCACGGTCGAGGGAACTTTCTCCACTTCTTTTGAGATTCATTCGGTAAGGAAGATTTATTTTTCAATTGAGTGGACACATTGCTTTCAATGTATTGCTGAGCTTTAAGATTGGCTATCCCATTACAGACTTTATTTCTTGAATGCATGGCTGATGACATGTCTGTTTCCAGTAGACATACCTTTTAATTGGAATGTGGATTATTCTGTTAGAAATAAAGCAGGCTGAAATTAAACTTACAGTAGTAGGTCTCTGCTGCTCATTCATTGACTTGACATTGTCACTCTCGTTACTCAGTTACAGAATGATTTCAGTGGAAATGAAGTTCCTCTTTAATGAAAACACACTTTAGTTTGGAATCACAGAATACCAAAGTGTTTTCCCCCAGGATGGGGAAAATACTGATTTTGTTAGAGGCTGATTCAAATTCCTGCCCCTGGAGGGAAAGCAATGGTGTGCTTGCATATGTGTGCACGTATCAGACAGTATGATGGACATAATAAGATGTTACAATAAGAATGGTGAGGTTTTTAGTTGATGTTGTTGCCCTGAAACCTTGAGAAACGTTATGCTTCTAATTCCTTCCTTCTTTTTTTTAAACACAGAAATGAGTACTACCCAGCAGATTCCTTAGTGGCTCCATCTCAGGATCTCAGAAGGAAAATTAGTGGTACCATAGCAGCAAAACAAATACCCACTGAAGAGGTGAATGATGTTGCTATGGAGGAGGAGGAGGAGGAGGAAGAAGAAGAAAAGGAAGAAGGGGAACCAATTAGTATAGGAGTACCAAAAAAGAAAACAAGAAGAGCTGCTGCTAAGTAAGTATTTTTAGTTTTCCGTTTTGCTCTCATGGAAAGGCAGATTCCGCAGCTCACATTGAGATACAAGCTGTGGTTTTGTATATATTATTTTTTCTTCTTTTGCTTGTGCTTCATCATTTCTCAGTGGATTACAAGTCAGAAATTCTGCCTGTACAGTACTGAAAATCCAAACACGTTGCCCAGGTTTTATCATTATCTCATTACCTGTCTGTGGTGTGTTTTACTTAAGCAAAAAATGTGTAGTATTCTGAAGTTTCCAGACACTCTTGTACCTGATTTCCCTGGCTTCTCTGTGCATGTCTGTTAGTCTTTGAAAACTGTGGACGTTGCCAAACACTTCAAAAAATTAGATTATTTGTTTAGGTATAGAATATTTGGATTCTGGTATAGAATATTGAGATATTTAGGTATAGAATATTGGGATATTTAGGTATAGAATATTGGGATTCGGCCATTTCCTACCCATTATAAATCTTGTCTTCTTAGGGACCAAGGTTTTTATTTGGTAGACTGAAGCTGCATGTTGCTGAGTGTCATTGTTGCAGTGCTGAATGCCTGAGAAAGTTGCTCATTGTATGAATTCTCCCCAGTGATGACCTCTGTCAAATATCCCTTACAAACACAGCACAAAGATTTATATTCTGACACTTCTTCTGCAAAGGATGGCCCTTGTAATGACAGAGAACTTCAAAATGTCACCTTATATGTTGGAACAAGACAAGTATACAAGTATTTGATATGTGACCTAAAGTGCCATTTCATCCCAGGTGTCCTGTGGGTGTTTCATTTTTTTCCCAGATTCTGGCTTGTATCTGCAAGTTATCAGCAATTAAAATACAGTGACAGTCCAAGATATTTTGTTGTTTTCCCAGCCTCCATCTCAGAACATCCTGCAGTGAAGTGGAAACATTAGCACCCGGTAGCTGTAACAAAGGCATGAAAGATTTACCGGGGGTGTGTTAATGAGTTGTGGAGTGACCTCCCTTCCCGGGTCAGGCCAGTGCCAGGGAGGACTCCCTTGTGGGGCTGCACTCTTTGTCCTGGGAAGCACGGCTGAAGCAGGGAGCACCTGCCCCAGACTCCCTCTGGGATTCTTGGAAGGCATCCTACTCATCCCTTGTCTGTGCCCAGCCATGGAAGAGGGTGGCCCAGCTCAAGTGTCTGGAGGATTCAGTGCAAATTAGCAGCTGAATGAGGACAGCTTCTACCAGTTCCACAGCACACATGGTAGAGGAGATCTCACTTATCCTGGTCTTCTCTGTCCCTTTCCATGAGGAGGTCGTGGGGCAGATGTGAGGTGACCGTGCCAGTGCTAGAGGAACTGACTCCCATCTGTCCCTGCAGTGTTAAGTCCAGCACAGTCTGTGGCTGGATGCAGCCCATCACATTGGTAGGAGCAACACGGGCACCAGTTATGGACAAGTGAATAAACAAAGAGATAAATACAGAGTTTTGGTGTTGTAGGCTGGGTTGGCAGAGAGAAGTAAGCTGCATCCTGACTGTGCCCCTTTCTCATGAAAAATCTGAGCCTACCCAGTGCTGCTGAAGTAAAGGCATTTTCTGTGCAGTGAAGTGACAGCTGGAAGGAGCTGCTTAGGGAGCAGGACACTTCTTGAGATATCTGAAATAGTGCTGAAGACTTGGGATCCTCTTGTGTTTCGTTTTCTTTCTTGTTAATGAATTTTAACTTAAGTTCCCTGTCCATTTGTCTCCTGGATATTTTTAAAAAAATCATTGCTTTGTTTTGCAGGCAACTAATAGCCCACTTACAAGTTTTCTCAAAATTCTCAAATCCTCGTGCATTGTTTTTGGAGCAGAAGTTGAATGCCTTGTATACCCAGGTGAGGCTATCTGCTTACTTTTAGAAATACTACTAATAAATCAACTCTTTCTTATTTGAGTGCCATGTCTAATACCGAGGAAAGCTGTCATTTTTTGATCTCAGCTGTGATAGCTGATAAAGCAACTGTCCTTGGGAGGACTTTCTAACAGGCTTCACTTGAAATGAGCCCCTTAGGCAAGGACCTGCTTAAGATGCCTGGCTTAGTTTGCCAGGCACTGGCAAACAGATCTGACAGCTGACAAGTAGTAGTCTTTGGCAAGATGGAAGAGTGGCTGCAGAGTATATCTGTTTCACTTACACTTCATGCAGGATGTGGGGAAGGATTTAGAATCCAAAATTTGGGGAAGATCTAAGGAGATCTGTCTTTGTCTATAGTTTTTTGTATACTAAGAGTATGGCCAGTATGTACAAGAAATTATCAAGCATCAAAAAAGGAATTTCTTCTTGAAGAATATTCAATTTGCTTGATTCTAGGGATTTCCCTGAAAGAATTGTCAAAAGTATGACTTCAAAGAGGGATTCTAATTCTTTATTTTACAATCCTTAAAATGGTTTTGTTTTTTAATTTTTTTAATTTTCCAGGGTTGTGTGGATTCCCAGTTTGTGGATTTGTTCAGGTCATTGGGGTTTGCTCACATTGTTCCTAGTTTGTTTTCTGAGGCTGTGGGTGTTGAAAGCTCCATTCCTTAGTCCCTGAATTTGACAATCTCTAGTAGACATCCACTCTGTTTCAGTCTATCTCGAAGTATTGCTTAGAAAACCAGTTGATCGATGTGTTTGCTTGGCTGTGTTCTTAGCAAAATATTGGGCAGTCATGTAAAGGTCAAATCACTGTGGGAAGACCAGCCTGGCACAAGAAGATTATTTCATCACTTACTGTTTGCATTTCTGTGTCTTAGTACATGCATTGTCACAGCTGGTGTGTCCATCTGGCGTAGGGACGTCATGGCAAAGTGACCTCTGATGACACTTGCTGTGCTATTTAGTAAGAGACTGAAGAACTGATAAAGATGCTGCCTGGGGAAATGATCTGTATTTCTCAACCTCTTTTCCCTGTCCTAATGAATCTCAGAATCACGGAATATGCTGAGTTGGAACAGATCCATCAGGATCATTGAGTCCAGTTCCTGGCCCTGCACAGGATGCCCCAAGAATCAACCATGTGCCTGAGTGCATTGTGCAAACAATTCTTTAACTCAGGTAGTCTTGGTGCTGTGACCACCCCTTGGTGTTGTTTAGTGCCTAGGTTATGAAGAGTCATCTTCAAGAGAGGGCAGATCTCACTGAGACTTTACATACCAAGTCGTCCAAGTAGTTTGTGTCTGTCACAGGAAAGAAATACAGATATCTTGGAATGGTTTGGGTAGTCTGCTTTTTAATCCACTCTTCTTAGATACACAGCTGATAACTGGTTTTGATGATAAATGCAAACTCATAGTGGTCCAAAAGACAGCTATAAAAAACCATAGTATTATAACTATCCTATGTAGGTAGGAAGGAAAAGTATATATGAACTTCAGCAGCCAGGCCCCTTTTTATGAGTGGAAGTTGTGCATGTACACCTTGGCTTTTTAATGGCAACACATACATTCTGCTTCCATTTGAATAAGCTAGTCCAAAACCTGCTTGGGCCTGTAGCCTTTGGGTTGTTTCACTATTTTCAGTAAACATTTCTGCCTCCTAGATAGGGACTCATTTTCTTTCTTTTGTTATTTGCAGTTACTGTCTCATCAAGACCAGAATGTACAGAGAATAGCTCTTGACTGTATAATGACATACAAGCATCCTCATCTACTGCCATACAGGTAAAAGCTTTTATTTATTTATTCTTTTAGCATTGGTGAATTAGCCTGCTATCATATCAGAAGCCTGCTTTAGGATCAGTTTTATTTGGGGTCCTGTATTTGTTGAAGACATATATGTAAAGTTTCATTTAGTCAGCTGTATGTTTTGTATCTAAGAGAGGAAATCAGATCTTGGGGTTGATCAGTGTCTCTTTTTTGTTTAGAGAAAAATAGCAACACTTCCATTCTGTACCAGAATAGTGTCAGTAGTGTTAGTAGTTCCATCATTTTCAGAGATGTCTTTTGAACTGATGATTTATGACCACCCAAAGAAACTGACAGCATAACACTGTGTTCAGAGTTAAATAATTTCCTTGAAATACATCCAGGACTTACTTGTCTACATCATTAGCTTGAATTTACAGGCTTTTAAAATAATTTTATAAAAGAGTGAGAAAATAGTACTTTAATATTTTGTATACAGCAAGGATAGATAGGTAGGTAATTAGATATAGATGCATTTGTGTGTGTATCTATTGTGTGTGTCTATTTTTATAACCCTACCTGCTCTCAAATAATGTTTATTACTCTCAGGGAGAACTTGCAAAGGCTACTGGAGGACAAGAGCTTTAAAGAAGAGATAGTCCATTTCAGTATTTCTGAGGAGACCACGGTGGTAAAAACAGAGCACCGACCAGATCTCATCCCTGTTCTTATGAGGTGTGTTCTGAAGTGTGAGTTCAAAAGCTTCATGGCAGAGTACCATGAGCAGAGAGATGTAGTGCTGCTTCTCATTTTGAATAATTGAGATAAACCCATGCTTAATGCTACAGTTTGATGACTTAGTTTGTGATATTCGGTATGGTTTTCTTATTAACACATTTATATAATGTGTTATGCAAATGGTGTTTTCTTTAAAAACAGCATTTTGGCACATACTGTTTCTACTAAGGATTACAGAGAACTGTGAGGACATTTCAGTTCATTGAGTGTTGCCAGCTATTTGCAGTGATGTGAATTGTCCTGCAAGGTAACCAGTTTTATACCTGAAGTTTCCAGCAGAGCTTCCATTGTAGAAGCAGAAGTTGATCTTTCACTAGGATGTTTTTGGGCAATATGTAGTAGTTCAGTGGAGAACCTGAAGGGAGAACTTTCACTAGAGAATATTTTTAAACCGAGTTTCTCCTGCAGAGTAAGAGGCTGGAAAACAGATGGCTTGCTGAAAGCTAATGCAATCTCTTTCTGGTTCTTGAAGAATTCTCTATGGCAGAATGAGAAACAAAACTGGGAACAAAACACAGGGCAAGTCTTCAGCGAGCACTCGCATGTCGATCGTTCTGCGATTTCTGGCCGGCTCGCTGCCAAAAGAGATCCGGATGTTCTTGGATCTGCTCTTTGAAGCTGTGAAGCAATTCAGTAATGGTAGGTAGGCTGTAGAAGCTGGGTGTGGTATTTCCTGACTGTAGAGATGTGGGAGGATAAATAGGCTTAGTACTGTTATGTGCTTCAGTTTGTCTCTTGACCATGCCTTGAAGGGATGAAAGTAAACCCTTGGTAAGGACTGGGTTTCCCCTAAGTTTCTCCTTACAAAGCATGATTGCTCTGTTTTACATGTCCAAGGTCAGAAAAGCTGAACAACTTGCCACAACTGTGCAAATAAGTTGTAGCAGGCCAGGAGTGGATAGTGGCTGGGATCATAGGCTAGCCTGAGTATCAGGGCAGTAAAGAGAGCTTGTAAAGTGCTCTGATTCTGTAGAAGTGGGAGACATCTAAATATCAGAGAGATGGAGAAACAGAGCTGTTCTTATTTAAAAATCTGATTGTGAGGATCTGTAATTTAGGGCCAAATTCCACTATTTTTCACTGAAAAATTATTCTTGGTAGTGAGTTTCTCCATGGTGCTTCCCTAGGTAATTTGCTGTTCCTTTGCCTATGACAGGGCCTTGCCAGACTGCAGTCCTTCAAAGTATGTCAGAGTTGGATTTAGCTAAAGTCCTGCCTCTTGGGCGTCAGCATAGCCTCTTCAATGGTCTTGAGGTTGTGTTGAAAAACATGGGACATTTGATCCAGCAATACCTGCCTGAAATTCTACAGATTCTGCTCTGCATGACTGCAGTGGTATCCTGCATCCTCCAGCAAAGAGAGAAGGTACAGTACATGCAAATATACAAACATGTAAATTAAGTTTTTGTCTCTCCTCCTCCTCTGAGCTTACACATATAGACAGAGCTTTATTGATTCAGATAAAGATAAGTTGAATGCCATTGTGGAGTGAAGCTTAGCAATTAGAAATCTGTCAAAATAGAGGCCAGTGGTACTTGTCTGAAAGTGCTGCAGGGCTCAAGCAGTGCAGGCAGAGTTAATGTACTTAGAAAACTGTGTGTTTGTTTGAACTACTGAAGAAAGAGTTGGAGGTGATCTCTGTGCAGTTCCTACCTGTATTTTGGAGAGATGGGCATGAGAAAGAGAGAAATGTTCTGTTGTAAACATGTAACAACATTTTATGGCTGGAAGTAGAAATTTGCCGTAAAGATGGAGTGTCTTGGCAGCAAGGATAAAACATTTGAGCAGGGGAAGGAGAGGTTTAAAGTTCCTTGCCTGAAGACATTTGAGCAAAGCTTGTCCATGAAGTGTTTTGTTGCAGTGCTAGACCTCAGAGGAGCTCAGCATTGTGGATGATCACAGTGATTATCAGCCCTTTGTGTCTCCTGTCATGGGACACAGGAGGGACATGACTACCAGCAGTTCTTTCAGCACACTAGAGGCATCTTCAGCTCTGTATCAGGAGTCATACTAATCCCTTGTTACCATTTGGGTCTTAGCCAGGTACCTGCAGAGCAGTGGAAATGATTTTTTCCCTTGCTGAGCAATGGCTGTACATGCAGAAGGGGTCAGGTGAGGAAAACATCCTGTTAAAGATTGGTTGCACCTGAAGGTGGGGCGTGTTGGTTTATTGCTGCCCTGTATGCAGGGAGGCAGCACAGACATCCCTGAGCTCTAGTCCAGCTACTTGGGGTCTGTTGGCAGCTGCTCAGAAACTGTAACACTGAGCCAGGCTTTTCTGTCTTCTTGGTGCTGGTGCAGAGCCTGACCATGTATTAGGTGGGAAACAAGCAAACTGCACAGTCATCATCGTCACTGTGGTGCTGCAAGGTGTTAGGAGATGATGGCCTGAGCAAGTGCGAATGAATGTTTTGTCACCATGAGCATTTGAGGTTAGAACTTGCTTTGAAAAAAATTTATCCAACAAAGCAAATCCTTGCAATAGGCAGTATCCAAGATCTCATAGTTGCCTGCAGGCTGCACAGAACCTGGTAACTGTCTTAATTTATGAAGAAGGTGAGCAAATTGGAGGACGTCAGCATCCCCCAGTCTGACTTCAGCAGTGCATTGCATATGCCTGCATGTTTTCAATGAGGACAGGAGACAGGAGTTCTAAAAGCTGCTTCATTAACTGCTAGGAAAGCCACATTTTGCCAGAGTTGCTACAGTAATTCTGTCATGGTTGTGTAATATCAGGAGTGACAGTCTGTTGTTTGTCTGAACTTAATTTAGCACTTCATTAGCCCAGGGGCTGTTAAAAGCTAAGGAAGAGTGTGAGAAATCTGTTTATCTTGACTAATAATTAGAAGACATTCTTGGAGTTTGAGAGTAATTTATTGCAGACTGATACTGCCTGGAGAGTTAAACATCAACTTTGACCACTTTAAGACAAGTTATTAATTTACCATTTGTGGATGCTGTGGGACAGAGAGAGAGAAATGCTTACCATTTCTCTCTGTGTGTCCCATAGCATCCACAACCATTTCCTACTGATTGTGTTCACTGTTGAGTTTCTTTGTCCTCTCAAAGGCTTGATCTCAGAGAACTCATGGTGATTGGATAGTGGGAAACCCAAAATGACTTCACTTGGAGGTTGCCATTAGCAATAGTATCCTGGTTTGTGTTTTCTTCGGGCTTTCAAACAGCTCATTTGCCACCTGGAAGCTGATTGCACTCCGCTGTACACTTTCAGCATAGCTTGGGAGGTCCTGTTGCAAGAGCTCGATCAGTTCCTTCCACCATCTCCTCTTTGTCTTTTTTACTTGTGATTTTATATTCTTGGATCCCCTTGTGGTGGATCATGATATGGGGACCCAATAGAGCTCCAATATCAGACAGTGGCTTTCATCTGCTCTTGTTGTTTCTGAGACTGAAGTTCATTACCTCTGCACTGTGGAGCTACTTCTTGTGCTCATGCTGTGAGCTGCATTGCACAGTATGGAAATAATTTAGGTTACTCAGGTCAAGACTCCTCTCAGGGAGGAGAGTCAGAATGCAGCTCTGCGTGAATTCCCTTACTGAAATGTTTTTCCAGAGAAAGGCTGTGGAACATAGCCACTAAATGGGTACAGGAAGCACCTTCCTGTAACCAAATGCTATAGTCCCCTCCCTACTCCACTGGAAGACATAATTCACATTCTTTCCTTCTCTGTTCCTCCCCCCTTCTCTTCTACTGTTGATTTCTTCCCAGAAGATCTCCGTGTACAAAGTACAACTTCACTTTGAAGAGGTGATTTCCGTCCTTTCAAGTGTAAAACAGAATTGTTCAAGTGTCAGAGTTGGAAATCTAGTTAATTGCAGTGTAGCTTTCTGCATTGCATCCAAAAGGGGCAGATGCTACAGGGTTAAACCTATAAGCACGGACTTTTGATGACCTGAAGGAGTCCTGTGTAACTGACTCTGAGCAGGAACAGGCAGGCCACTCTAGAAACAATTAGGTCAGCTCTGGGGTGTACATTGCTACTGTGAACAAGTTACAAGAGAAAACAGATGTTTCTGCAAAGAATGTGTCTGGATGTGGTCAGTCAATTGCTGGTTTAATTTCAGAGCAAATAGTTAGTAGTTGCTCTGCCAAGGTCTTACTGGGCTGTTTTTTTTGTTGGTTTTCATTACAGGTCCAACCTAGGTTGATTAATCCACTGAAGAATTTGAGACGTCTTGGTCTCAAGCTTGTGGCAGAGTTTTTTTCTGATTATGAGACCTACAGCTTTAGTGTGGAAGAGATTGATGCAGTTTTCCATGCTGTGGTATGGCCTCAGGTAAGTATTTCTTGTTTTTCCAAATAACTTGTTTGAAACATGTACCATGCAGAAAACTCCAGCTGTACTCCAGTCCATCATGTCAGCTCTGTCCATCGCTAGAGTGGATGTGGCCTTGGACAGACGGTGGCATCCCAGTGTCTGTGCAAGGCCACTTTCCTGGCTCTTCTCTGATTAGTCCTGGAATAATCAAGTCACAGATTAAAGTACAAATTAATTCATCTGAATAAAATGGATGCCATTTCTTTGTTCTTTAACCACAGAAGCAGACTTCTTCCCTAGATGCTTCAAGGAAGCTAAATAATACGAGTCATTTCTAGATGTACTTTGCTACTTTTCTGTGTGACAGTTGTTGGGTAGGGGGCTGCAGAAGCAAATGCTGCTGCAGGAAAGGAAGGACCCAGGAGGGTCTGTCAGTGGGCTAAGTGGTCTTGAGCCTGCCTGCCAAGACTTCTATGTGAATATAGTGACAAAGCACAGGCATTTGGCTTTTATCAGAGAAATTCAGATTGCCTCTGAGCTTGGAAAATGCACTGCTGTATGATGAAGAGAGAACACAGGATTTAAAATTAAATTATATTGTCTTTGTCAGTGCAGTGGCTCTGGGATTGTCAGGGAGTGCCTGTACCAGCTGCTGGGTTGTCTCTGCTCTAAAAGCAAGTTGTGTCCATGAAAAGGTTAACTGAGTAAGAGGGGCTGACTGCAAGCGTGCTCTTCCTTAGAGGCTTTTAAGGTATCCAAATCCCCAGCTTCCCTGCAGCAGAAAAGCCTGTTAAAGAGCACTGGTCTAGTCTATGAAACAACAGAGCTGCTTCTCTAGACATTGTCTTTGTTTACTCCTACAGTGTTTCTCTTCTCTACCAGTAACGATATGTGATGTATAGTATGGTTATGTGGACAAACAGTAGATTAAAAGTACCAGGCAGTGCATATAGCTCTGTATTGCCCTGGGCAATGGGAAAATGCATGTTCCTGGTTTGCCCATGGAGTCTTCTTACAGCTGGGGTGCTACGTGGGAAAAGCAGTGAACATTTATTGCAGTTCCAGAGCAGCTCAGGCTATTGCAGTTCCAGGCAGTCAGCAAAGCACTTAAAGCTTTCATGGAGCACAGTGTTTGCAAATTCTGAGTAACTCTGAACAAGGTGTACTTTTGTTACTAAATAGTTAGAATGCCTCTTGTACTTACATATGTCAGGAAGACAGATGGTTTTGAAGCTTGGATGGTAATACGATCCAGAAGCTCCCTCTGGAGTCTTTTCTGGTGAACTTCATGAGGATTTGGTTTTGGCAAAAGAATCCTTTCGACTTGTGTGCTTTCCTTTTTTAAAACTACAGAACTGAGGTGTGTAAAACTGATGGAGAGGGCAAATTGGTTTAAGCCTGTTGAACCTGCAGTTGGAGTTTGCTGTTGTTCATAGCCCAGGATTTTGCTGCAGAGACTTGTTAGCAGCAACACAACCCCAACACAGGTGGGGTTGTTTTGGACACAAAACCCTGTTAGGAGATCCCATCCCAATATGATGTTCTAGCCTCTCAGTGAGGCTGTGGAGATACAGACCAGGTGCTGCAGGCAGGGCATAGGAAGTGTGGGAGGAGTGAGTTTTGGGTGCTGTGCTTGAGATTTCCTAGGTATGTCTGGGAGAGTTTGCTAAGTCTCTGCGGCAAATGTGAGGTGTTGTGGGAATCTAGTTTCAAGGGAAGGCAAAAATGGTAGCAGGAATACTGTATAAACAGGAGTGAAATTATCTAAAAGTCATTTGACAAATATTGAAGAAGTTGGAAAATTACGTTATAAAAGGTTGAAATTACTTTATAAAAAAGGTAAACTGTAGAATGTGAGGTGTTTGGTAGAGAGGATGTTTTCAAGTGGCTTTACTTACTTGTGTTGCATTGGTATCTGATTTTTCTCTCCTTTAGGTCTGCAGATTGGCTTCAGAGAGTCAGTATTCTCCAACTTTTCTGCTCAAACTCATTCACACCTGGAGTAAGAACCCCAGGTAAGTGTTCTTCTGGCAAAGAAGCCTAAATACTTCTGAATACATAAAATACAAAGAAAAAGGAGCACGCTAGCAGGCTGTGAATAATTGTGTCCAAACCCATATTTTCTTTTTCCTTTAGACTCTTATTCTTTTGATAGCAGTCAAACAGCTGGGAAGCCTTCCAGTTTATGCAAGAACTCACTTTTTTAATAGGCTACTTTTTCAATGTATTAATAATTAAGCACATATGCAGCCTAAACTCAACTCACAGGTGAGGAAGAGGTCTGATTTCTTAGGAATATGTTTGTCTTGACCAATGACTTCTTAGTCTGACTTCTTAGTCTTGTGAGATGGGAAGTCAGTTTTACAAGATATAATTTCGTTCATATTTTTAGAATCTCTGTTTCTTTCTATTTTATGAAAGAGTATGGGCAAGTTCAGCACAGAATCTGTAACTGAGAATCGTCAGTTACTGAAAGTTGTAAAAGAGCTTTTTTTGATTGTGAGAAGTTCCAACTCAACTGTCTTGAGTGATTTTTGCCTCTTCCTCAGACTCAGTGTTTTTCCTTTGCTGAAGTACCTGATGTTTCTCTTGAGACACCTCATTGGTAGGCACGAAGACCTTATACACAAACTTCTGTTAAAAATGATGTTGTATCACTAGGTTAGGAGCAGACTAAGAGGAGACTCAGGCTGTGGAGAAAGGATTAGAAAAGGGACTTGATAACCTCTCAACCTCCATTCATTGTATTTTTGATGATGCTGTTCTGGTTTTTGTGCACTTTTTTCTTGGTTGAAATGGAAGACAGTCATTATTTTTTGTGTGACTTCTCGCACAGAAGAAGTGTAAGCTGAAAATTCTGAACCTAATTTTCAGTGAACCTTTTTATAATCTTTCTCTCAGGTATTTCCCTTTGCTGGCCAAGCAGCAGCCAGATCATCCAGAGAGTGATATACTGACAAATGTTTTTGCTGTGCTGTCAGCCAAGAATCTGTCTGAGGCCACATCCAGCCTTGTGATGGACATTGCTGACAGCCTTCTCAACAGCCCAGATTTTGAACCCACGGAGCAGGTTTCCAGTCTGAGCGTGACTGACTGTGTTGTCATGGCCACTGGAGACGTGACAGAAGGTATGCCTGCCTGAGAGTTCTCAGAGACCTGTTGGGTGCTTTAGATGGAGGTGTTAGATTATGGTGAGGCTGTCTAAGAATACTGGGGAAGTGGACCTCCCAGCAGAGATGGAAACATCAAGGTACAAACTTGTCTTGTGCTCAAGAACTGTAAATTCCTGCTTGCTTCGTGACTGATGAAGTCCACGTTTGAGTGTCAGAGTCCTGAGCACAGAGAGATTCCTTATGAAGAGAGCAGTGTTGACCTGTTCTGTCTGTGAAGCTTTGACTGATACAAGTTCAAGAACTGCATTGCTGACTTGGCTCTGTGCCTAACACCAGGCTTTATATAAAGGCCCCCGTTCCTGTATGCACATGATCCTGTATCACTTTAATGTTTAGTCTGTGCTCCCTGACTGGAAAGACCTGGCATCTTTGAAAGTTAATAGACAGAACAGTAGCGTGCTGTGTTTGATGCTGTGGAGACAGCATCAGTGTGCTGCTTTCACCTGCAGCACTCAAAGCTAGTGGAAAGGGGCATGTGCCCTTGTTATGGCAGCTTTGATTTTACACAAGAGGTCAGTGGTGGAATAAAGAAAACCACATCTACAAATGCTCCAGTCATTTTAGATGTTGGTACTGTAGAAGAATGTCCTTGGTGCCTTCTGATAAGCCTGCATATATGAGGGCTGTTACTGAAATCTGTGAGGAGAGTGGTGTGTGCTTGCTTTGAGCCCATCTCAGACATGTTAGACTTGGTCTCAACAAGTGCTGGTGCTTCTTCCCAGCCACCAGCTGCCCTGCATGTTTATAGCTCCCATTTACTAATGAAACCTCCCTTATCCTAATTTCCCCTTTGTATAGGGTTGGATCTCCCTTCTGTTTCTTGCAGCATAGTTTCTTGGGTGTTGCTAACTGTTGTCTCTTACAGAGCCCCTCAGCCTAGGTTGCCAGTTGGTCCTGCCTCATGTTCCTGCCATACTTCAGTACTTCAGCAAAACAATGTTAAGTATGGAGAAGGTGAAAAAGAAGAAGTACAGAGCTCAAGTCAGCAAAGAGCTGAGTATACTTTCCAAGTAAGTGATTCTTAGAGCCTGAAACAGTTAAAAATCTGGAAGGAGGGAGGAAGAAATAGGCTTATTGTAAGTTTCCAAATTAAAAAACACTGTGTCTCAACTTTTTAAAATTTGCAACAGTTGTAAATACCTGGATCTGTCATTGGCCTTGCTATTTGCTGGTTATTGAGGTGATAAGTTTTCAGAAGTTGATTCTAGCTGATTTTGTTGCTGGTACTCAAACCTAATATCTCTTGAGGTTAGAAAAAAGTGCAGAAATGTCTGCAGTCATGTGGAACTGAATGCTTAGGCTGGGACTGTGAATTTGGTAGGTACGCTCTGTTAGCCTGGATAGGCTGACAAAGCCTTGTGAAATGACACTAGTGCTGACAGACTTCTTTGCTCTGTACTGGTGACTGAAATTATATAAAAGAGTAAATTACGTTGTCCAATTCTGCAGGATCAGCAAATTCATACAAGAAAAGAGCCAGAATTCAGTGCTTGTGAGCCTTCTCATCCCTTTCCTTTATCAGACTAACATGGAGCAGGTAGGTAAAAATTATTTCCTTGCCCCTACTAAGCATATGATTTTATTTTAATCAAGTATATTTGTTTGTTTTAAAAGTCATATACATGCCATTTCTCATTATCAGCCTGCAGTCAAGTCTTCACATGGTTGTAGTCTGTTCAGAATGCAGTGCCACTGTGTGTTGATGTGCACTACTCACCCAGAGGTGCCAGTGCCCAGACTGATTCTGTTCCCCCTTGTCATGGGGAAGGTCTGCAGAAGTTGTAATGCAGTCTTTACTTTCTTTGTCACTGTAGTCAATCCACCAAATTGCTTGCAATGTTTGCAATAGTTGCTCTTCTTCAGTGTGTATTTTATGCACCCCAAAGCCACAGAGTTTGGACAGCAATGCGAATTTATGTGGTTGAGTTGTAGTGTGTGTGGTGTACTGGGCAGTGCTGCATTAGTCTGCTGCTGGTTGAAAGGCAAAGGCAAACCATGTACAGTACTATTTTGGGGGTTTAAATCTGTGAATCATTAGGGCACCACAAGTGATTGCTGTTGAGGGGACTCATCCAAGAGCTTTACTGTGCAGTGGCCAGGCCCTCTCACTGGAGATACTCAAGAACTGTCTGGATGCAATCCTGTGCCAAGTGCTCTGGAATGACCCTGCTTGAGCAGGGAGGTTGGACCAAATTGACCCCCGTGGTCCTTTCCAACCTGACCCGTTCTGTGAAGTGTATGGTGCTGTTAATATTCATCTCACATATTCAAGAAAGACTGCTTTTTAAAGCTCCATTAGTTCTCCTGACCTTTGAGTCATGAGGAGAGACACATAAAAGAAGTCTTTATCGTGCTGACAGTCATCTCTTAACACTGTATTGTTTCTAATTGAGAGGCTGCAAGTACTTCTGAGAGATTTGATGATTGCATTGTGTCCTTCTAATTCTTTGTTCTCGTTCAGTATCTCTGATCTGAATGAAGTACAGCAATGTGCACTTAGTGTCTTGAAATATGTCCCAAGGAAATGAAATAATCTTGTGAGTTCTCAGTAGTTATTGAGAGTTATGTGTCTCTTTCAGGGTACCCAAATTGACATTCTGGAGACGGTGCAGAACTTGCTGAGGCATTGCTCAAACCCTACAAGCTTTCTCAAACCACTGGCAAAGCTTTTTTCTGTTATCCAGAACAAACTGTCTCGAAATAAGTTGTGCTTGGTATTTCAGGTATTGCATTTCTACATCTTTCTATGCTTTTTTTTTTTTTTTTTTGCTCTAAGAGATCAAGAAGAAAGTAATAGGAGTATTTATCTTTGTGCATAAATTTAAAAACCTTTTTTACTCCTTGTGTGAAGTGAAAATTACAGAATTCTGTGTGATAGAAATGAATGAGCTGCACAAAGATTTGTAAAAGTTTTGGCTTACAGCCTGGTTGATGTGAACCTCGCCAAGGATCTTTAGTGTAAGAGAAGCCAAGCAAAGCACTTAAACTGCAACAAATCCTGCATGTTGATGAAATAAGAATGGATTTCAGTATCCTGAAGACAATTTTTATTTGTATTCTTCTCTCACAGTTTATAGTAGGATATTCTGTATTACTTTGAAGTGACTTATATAAATTCTTAGCAGTAAAACATGGGAAACATACAGTGTAGATATTTGGAAACTTAGGACTTAAAACACATATCCTCCAACTTACATGAGAAAGGCTCTTATGGAGATTCTAACAGGAGAAAGGCTAATGCTGCTGCTTTATTTGTTTTTTGTCTGAAGTGGTAAAGTCTTGAGTTATCCAAATTTTTAACAACTATAAAAGTTAACTGGGTTTTTATGTTTTTTAGACTTTATCTGACTTGGATGCTAAGCTGAAGTACATTACTGATGTTGTTAAGGTATGCACAGTTTTTCTCTCTGCTCCCTTTTTCCCCCAGTATGGTATGATCACATTTCTGTCATTTTTCATTAACAACTTGTTGCTCTGTCTTAGCTGAATGCCTTTGATCAGCGACATCTGGATGATATTGACTTCGATGTGCGTCTGTCAGCATTTCAGTCAATCACAGCCCACATCAAGGAAATGCATACAGTGGATACTGACTTCCTCATCCCTGTTATGCACAACTGCTTCTACACCATCCAGGTTGGCTGAATGTTCCTTCCCTGGCTATATGCACCATGGTCCCTGATGAATCTAACTTTCAACTTACTTCCATTGGCTGTTTTTGGCACCACATAACATTCAGAAAGTATCTTTAGGTATTCTTACAAACATGTTTTTGAAGTTCTGCCTGTTTACCTTTTCATCTCTGTGTCCCGAAAGGCAAACACAATGCAGCACAACTTTCTGTCAGTGAGCAATGGAACTGTTTGGTCATTTGTACTGGATAAAAGGCACATTACAGGCTTGAAAGGCTGATTTTGGTTTGTTGCAGCATGTTCTGGTTGTGTGCGTCTGCTGGTAAATGTAAAGGGTTTTTTCCTGATGGGTAGGCTGGGCATTAATTTGGGACTAGAACTTCTGTAGGAAAGTTCTCAATAGTTACTGAGTCTCTGCAGGACTCGCTGTGTTGTATCCAGTGGTGCTGTTCTGTCCCAGCTTTTGGGTAGGGAAAGGTGTCACAGCCAGACTCATGTGGTGCCATTTCTTCATCCTCTCAGCTCGGGGACATGGCTCTCAGTGACAATGCAAGCCTTTGCTTGACCAGTCTCATCCACCGACTGGCAGAGATCAGCCACACAGAAGATGAGTACAAGGAGCTAATCCAGCACGCTCTTCTGGAGTCTGTGAGAAGGGGTCTGAAGAGTAAGACTGAGGTAAGGCAGTGGTATCTGATCACACATTTGCATGAGATGTTTTTTGGGTGAGTTCTCAAAGTCCTCTACTTGGATAAGAAGTGCAGGTACCCACTGTAAACTTACCCTTAATATGAAACCTTATAAAATTCTAAAAGATTATAGAAATTACCTGTGTTTCTCTGCTGTTGTTCAGCTTTTCTTAGTTGAAACTCGTTTTTTGGAAGGGAGGCTTTAATTTATATGCAGCCCATAATGGGTGCATTTGTTGTTACCAAGAATTAGGACGTTTGACTGAAACTCTTGTAAATGACAGCACTGCTGTTCTCAGGAGTGTGTAGCAGCCTCTCCAAGGGATACTTACCATTCACTGCTTGCTGTTTTTAGAGTATCCAGCAGGACTACACATCACTGCTTTCGTGCCTCATTCAGACATTCCCAACAAATCCTGAATTCCAGGATTTGGTCCAGCTGACTAACCGCCATGATCCTGACATGGACTTCTTTGAGAACATGAAACACATGCAGGTAAAAGACAGCAGGCATTTCTTAGTGCCTCTCTTCCCCTGCCAAGCAAAAGCATCTTACTGTGAGGGGATGCTTTGCAAAGCATCTGTGTGTTGTCTGCAGAGTAATTGAACCTGTGTCATTAGATACTGTTACAAAAAAGAGGGATGTAGACATGATAAGAAGTGATTGAGAATCAAAGTCATGTTTCTGTCTGTAAATGTATTGGGTTTATGGTAGCCCACAGTCAGCAGTATCCTGAAGATTCCTCTGACATAGGCATGGAATGGGTCTCTGTTTTTTCTGGTCTATTCCCTGCTGCTCTCTGGAGTCTCTGCAGCCCCTTCCCATTCACAAACCTTAGCAACACAAATGTTACACAAAGCCTGGTTTTTCTTGCAGTATGAAAATACATTAATTCTTTTTTCAGAGATGTAATCTGAGAGAATCTTTGCTATACCTGTACTTATATGCAGTTTGCATATAAGTTCTAAGTTCTTAACTTTAATTTTCTCTGGTCTTTGCATTTCATTGCAGCAGCTGCTGTTTGCAGTTGCCTCCCTTGTCTAACACCTCAAGATAGCACAGTCTTATGATTGTGAATCCACAATGCCATTGACTTGGAATATCTGTTGAGGCAGAAGGCTAGTGAAAGGCCAGAGATTTAAGGAAAAAGGCATGCCTTAGAAATGACTGTAATATGTTTATGGCATTACCTAAAACTGGGACATTTTCAGAACTGCGGGATGTAGGTGCTCTCTCGTGCAAGCTGTGACTCAAGCACCACCTCATTCACTCTCTCCCATGTGACATGTCTCAGATCCACAGGAGAGCACGAGCTCTGAGGAAGCTGGCAAAGCAGCTCACTGAAGAAAAGCTTGTGCTGTCTTCTAAATCCCTGCAGAACTACATCATGCCTTATGCTACAACTGCAATTTTCAGTGAAAAAATGCTTAAGGTAGGCTCATTCAATTAAATGCATCTACTTGAATATTTTCACCTTTCTTATATACCATTTCCCTTAGAAACCTAACCCACTTAGACAGCTGGTATCTTTGTGAAGTGAATGTCTCCATTGTAGATAAAAGTGCTGTGCTAGTATTGGTGGCAGAAAGAGGGTTTGGAAAGTGCAGATGCAGTCTAGGCCCAGTCCTGTATCTACTAAAGTTGTCCTGCTTTTCAAAGGTTGATCTCTTAACTCTTTGGGTTAGAGTTTTTTGTTTTGTTTTCGTTTTAACTTGGGGTTTTATTTGTCTTTATTTTTTGTAATCAGCTTCTTTTTTTTTTCCCTCTGCCTCCAAACTTCTGTCTTCCTGTTTAGTTGTGATACTCTTTGACAGTTGACTCTGGGAATATAGTCTGCACCTAGTAACAGAGGTGGGAGTAAATACAGTTTTCTCTGGATTTAGAGGGAAACTGCAGGAATTGGCTGGAAACATCTGAAATCAATAGCAGCTTTGTAATGAAAATTTGAAGGCTGACGGTTTTTTAGTCACTTTCACTTTCAGTGAAATTACTTGTAATATCAGTGTGGACAGACTTTCCACCTGTGGCCCTTAAAAGCCAGGTTTCACACTTCTGTTAATTCCCTGCACACTACCAGGAGAACAGCAGACCTGCTTCTATCAAGTGAAGTAAATGTCTAATTTGCTTACTGTCAGAAATGTTCTTCTGAAGCTGAAACAATTAGCACTCAGGCACAGGACCCAGCCCCTGCAGCAGTCTGTGCCCCTCCGTAGAGTGACTGAGTAGCTCTTTGACCAGAGGGCAGTAAAATGTGTGGATTGAAACTTTGGTAAAGAAATAGACATTTTGTTTCACCATTCTTTCCTCACCCATTCTGAAATGGGTTTGTAGTTGACCAGCAATGTGCCATGTGTTTGTGGTTGGATGCCTTGACTGGTTCTTGTTCTTACTTCTTAGCACAAGTGAGCCCCTAGGTTTAAGTATGTGAGAAAAGTTAGAATTGTGCAGAATAATTTGGAGGAAGTGGGTCTGGAGATATGCTTGATAGATTGTGATTTTTTTTTTTCCTAACTTGATGCTCAGGGGGAGATGTAAAAATACTGAATCCCAGCATGCCCACTAGACAAACATTACTTCTGTCTTTTGTTGCTTTGGATGAAGGATGCTGCAGACACGTGGTCATTGTGAATGCTAACAGCAGCTGAATTTCTCTCTTTTGAGCAGCATGAAAACATGGTAACAGCCTCGGTTGAAGTTGTTGGAGCTGTCTGCCGACACCTTTCATGGTCAGCCTATTTGTACCACTTAAAGCACTTCATCCACGTCTTGCAAACAGGACAGATCGGTACGAAGCTGGGAGTCAGGTGGGTACCACGAGCAGTGCTGCTCTGGGTTTCTCCAAAGACTGCTTAGGCACAGTTCAGTGTTTTTAGAAGCGCCTCATGGCTTCTGCCTCTTCTCTGAGGTGAGAGATTGCTGGCTTTGAGGTGGACTTAGGCAAGTGGAGGTGGGATGGCTTGTTGCCTGGATCTATGAAGTTTTAACAAGTTGTTACTTTGTTACACCATGTCTCACTGAATGCTGGACAGCTGTTCTGTCAGGCTGTCCCTGCTCCTGGGACACCTCTGTTGCTCCAGTACCACTCTCTGTGAGGTTTCACATTGAGCTGGGTCACAGAATATGTGCAGCTGAGAAGTAACCAGTTTTTATTTTCTGGGGTTTTTCAGGATAAACATCCTTATGGTGCAATGTCACTAAATCTGATGTTTTCCAAAAACTGCCTGTAAGATTTTTCTGTTGTATATGCATCCTCTTGTTTTTGTGCAGAGGGCTGATCTTTCTTCATGTTTTCCTTCTGCAGCTTGTTAGAGACAGTGCTGGAAGCCTTTCACTTTGACCATAAAACACTTGAAAAGCAGCTTGTGACCATTGACAACCAAGGTGAGCCTTTTGTGTCTGCTTGTAAAAACACTCCTCAGACTGCTCAAATGCAGCTAATCAAAGTTTTGTGGTTTACTCTTGACATCAGCAACTTCCTTTTTTTTAAATGGGCATCTTGGAAGCTAGTGTTGACTTGTCTCCTCAGGAGTAGTGCAGATTTTCCTCCAGTGTGTTGACAAAGTCAGGAGAGGTGTAGGGAATCATGCCCACATTACCACTCCATCCCAGGCTTCTGTAAGCCAAAACAGCCCAGGACCTGTGTGGTTCTCATGGTTATCTGCAGCCAAGATGTCCTCACCTTGCTTCCCTTGCCATTGCACAGGACAAAGTTGTATCTTCAGCTTCTTCACTATTGTGGTTACCTATGTTGGGACCCTCGGGTGATGGAGGAGGATGTCTCACAGTTGTGCTTGTCAGTAGCTCTTGCCTTGTGAAATCCTCAGTTTTAAGTGAATGGCAGTTCTCTGCAGTTCAAGCACATTGACCTTTGCTCAGCTGACTACGGGGTTCAGACACAGAGTAGTGTAATCTTTGCTTTAAACATGGCCCTGAGGGTGCTTATCAGAAACCAGCAAGCCAAAGCTTCTTTACCCAGCAGAAGAAGCCTGATGATTATTGGTGGTTTGCTGTCACTGGTGGTAGGTGGGAGCTTTATGTAGAACCAAGCTGTCACAGGAGTCTCAATTAAGGGCTCAAGTTTTGTGTTCTCCTGTATTTACCTACCTGTACTTTTGGCAATTACTTGATAGAAGCTGCTGCCATGGACCTTGAGCCAGTGGTGGAGGCTGAAGAAGCCATGGAGCTGGAGCAGAGTGAAGGGGAAGAGGAGGAAGCTGAAGAAAAAAATGGGAAGAATCTTTCTGAGAAGCCAGTAGAACCTGAGCAAGCAGCTGAGCCATCTGAAAATGCTAAACAAGTGCCCAAACCTGTTTCATTCTTACCCCGAAATAAAGAGGAGCTTCAGTGTCTGATCCAACACATTCAAGAAACAGTTACAGTCAACATCTTGCCTAAATTGCACAGGTGTATTGTTGCAAAGGTGAGGAGCTGACATTTGAAAGGTCCCTTTGTAGGCTGCTACTTAAAGGATTGGGATACTACTTCAGAGCCAGTGAAAAAGCAACATATTAAAAAAAAAATGGACATAGCTAGGGAGAGACCATCTGAAAGCACAAAAAAGGCCTCATGCCCTTTGCTGAGTCATGGAGATTACTGACAGACCCTCTGGTCAGTGTGGATGTGGTGTCCTAACTTCCCTGCTGAGAACTGTCTCAAACTACACAAGGGAAATGATTCACTTTGTCCAACCTCTTGAAGAATTCTCAGCCACTTGCTTGCACCAGCCTAGTTTCTGTATTGAAAACACAGGGATTTATCTCACCTGTCCTTTAGCTGTCTGGGTTTTTCCTGCAGTCATCAGAGGATAGCAGCCTGCCATACTGGCCTCTTATAGGGTTTGTTGAGAAAAACCAGAGTTTGTTTCTGTATATTAAAAGTGCATTATGTCTTGCTTTCTTAAAAAGGTTAAAAGAGACGAGGAGCACAAGCTTGTGAAATCCAATGTTGTGAATGATGATGAGGTAGTTCGTGTTCCATTAGCTTTTGCAATGGTCAGAATGATGCAGTGTCTTCCCCAGGAAGTGATGGAAGCCAACCTACCAAGGTAAATCCCAGTGGGGCTCCTTACATCCCAGTGGGGCTGTTCATTCTGCAGGGAAGAAGTGCAGGCACTTTTCTCAAGCTGTGGTTACGTACATGGCTAAAGAGGGACATCCTAACAGACTTTAAATAACTTCTTTTGGAAATTCCTGTTCCTAGTGACATGCACCACTGCACCTCAGCATTTAACTGCTGTAAATCCTGACCCAAGGGCAGAGCTGTGAATCAAGGTGCAGAGGCAGGGCTGGTTGTGCTGGGGAAAGAATAATGTACAAAAAGAAAGGATAATCGGTAGAATGTCCTGAAGGGCAGTATGTGTGTGTATGCCTATAAAACCTCTCTGTGAGGCTGGCTGTGAGTACAGCTGTGGTTGTGAAACAGTCCTGAAAAGCAGCCTCCTTGGCAGGATAATTAGTTGTGCTCTGCTTGGAGATGAACAAAGTTGTCTATCTTTGTTTCCAGCATCCTACTGAAAGTCTGCACGTTCCTGAGAAACAGATTTCAGGAAATACGGGACATTGCTCGCAACACCCTCATTAAAATCATGGAAGTGTTGGGAGTGCACTACCTTCTGTATATCCTAAAGGAGATGCGGTCTGCACTCATCCATGGCTACCAGGTAATGCTGAAATTCTTCCTCTTCTGCTCTCTGTAGGCTTTTTTTCTAATATATTAGGAGGAGAATCTAAAGGGAAGTTGCTATTTGAATTGTTTTGCACTGGTAGAATAGCTTGGTATAATACAAGTAAATATTGTTGCTAATGCCTACATCAGTCTTTGTTTTGCCTTGCCAAATGTCAAATAAGGATCTGTACCCTCAAAGAACTAAGAGTCTAAGCCTTTTTCCTAGTGGAGAGTTTAGGTATGTAGGGGAAGGATGATTTTCTGGTTCCAGTAAGATTAGAGGAAGTCTTTCCATAAGGTCATGAGGGCTAAGCAGTATCTGGGGGGAGTCTGCTCAGAGGCTGCACAGACAGTGTGTGGTGATGCTAGTTGAAGGATTGCTTCCTAGATCCAGAGCCAAGGCTCTGACTATTAATTCATCTTTCCTCTTTCCATGGCTTGGGTTAAGAATCATTTTTCATGTGAATTACCACAGTGGAGTAGCGTGAGCTTCTAGCTGCTGTAACAGTGAAAGAATCAATTAGAGCAGCCTAAGTATATCAGTAAGAGCCCTGGGGAGAGAGGAGATTCCAGCCCTCTTGCCAGTACGGGGTGGGATAGGGATCCTTTTTCTCTTGCTACTACATGGATTCTCCTCCTCCCAGTGTTTCCTTTTTTTTCCTATAATGAAAGCTCAAGTGCTTTTTTTTTTCCTATAATGAAAGCTCAAGTGTATGACTTGTGATGTCTCTGGTATGGGAGTGTCCCCATGCAGTATGATTAAAGAGGTCAATGCAGAGGTTTGGGATGATCTGTTCTCTTTTTCTGTAGCTCCATGTGCTGACTTTCACTGTGAACCTGTTACTGAAGGGCCTTACTACCAGGCTCAGTGCTGGTGATTTGGACCCCTGTTTGGATATCCTGATTGAGGTAAAAGCTATTAAAGACTGAAAGGAAAAGCATCATGAAGTGCTTGGGACATATTCTAGGAGGGGAAGGTTTTGTCTGGATTGTCTCTGACTTGGTGGCAGACCAGGCTGTTGTGTGTGTACTGCCAAGGAAGGAGGCACCAGTAGGCCCCGTTGTAGATGGGAATCAAGAGAAGTCAAGTGTCTCTGGGACTGTATTCTGAGCCCTGCATCCTGAGAGGGGATGGATTCAAGATTAAGACACCTACCTGTGTTTTCCTATACTCTAAATTGCTGAGCAAGTCAGCAGACATCTACTCAGTGCAGTCCACAGAGCCCAGGAACTCAGCTGGCCACACAGATGGCGTATAGTGGGATGCATTGATCTGACTGCAGTCCCATTCCTTGTGTCACAACACCAGAGGGATGTGAGAACAGTTTTCTCATCTGGTGTACTTAAACAAGGATGTTCTGTGTTGACAAAGGAAAGATAAAGGTGATTTGTAGGAAACATGGAGAATTGTTTTTTCTGTGAGTGGGGAAAAATAGTGTTGTTCTCTTGCTACTGGAGAAACCTGCTTTTCTTCAATCATTCATTTCTCTTGCCTGTTTTCAAAGATTTTCAACCAAGAGTTGTTTGGGAATGTAGCTGAAGAGAAAGAAGTGAAGGGTATTGTCTCCAAGATCATGGAAGCACGCAAAAACAAGAGCTACGATTCCTATGAAATTCTTGGGAAGTTCATAGGAAGGGGCCAGGTGACAAAACTTATTCTGCCACTGAAGGAGGTAAGAAAAGTCAGCCAGTCTCACAAACTGTGACCACCCTCAATTCTGTAAGGTGATTCTAGAGCCTCTGGGTGGCTACTTTGAAATCACCTATGGAATCTTGCTTTGGCTTCCCAATTTCCTTTGGGAAAGCAGGGAGACTTTACTGTTGATATCCAGGGCAGGGAGTGGCATTCTGGGAAGCTTTTAACTACTGCTCAAGTGGATACATCCCACTTGGAGTTCTCCATGCACACTCCCTCTGCCCACTCTTCTTTCCTCTGGAGCTTAGAAGTCCTGCAAGGCTGCTGTGTGGTTTAATCTCTTGTGCTTGGAGGAAATGTCAACAAAATGTATCCAGGGTCTATCCATGTGCAATAGTTGCCTTTTCAAAGATGCAGATTTTTTAGCAGAGTGCAGGCTCACACAGGAATGGAACCCTGATTTGCTCGTTAGCTCTTGTGTCCTGGTGGCTGTAGCTGAACTGGCTGGAGACTGACAGGAGCAAGGGGGAGGGATGTTGGTTCAGAACTGAGGCAATGGGATGCTATTCACCTAAAGAGCTGGAGACTGTGACAACATGATGAGAGAGAAATTGGTCTAGTTTCCCCCATGATTTCTGATTACAGATAATTGCCATCAGGCTGTCCTCTTAAATTCTCATGGTTTTACCTTTGCAGACTCTGGAGAGCACCACAAGCTTGAAGATAGTCCGGAAGGTGCATGAGGCACTGCGTCACATCATGGCAGGGCTCATCTTCAACTCAGACATGAATGCAGAATCCCTCCTCCTCCTCAGTCATGGTCTCATCAGTGAAAATTTGCCTCTGCTCACTGAGAAGGCCAAGTGAGTTCCTGGGTGTTGTTCAGATGGTCTGGTATTGGTTTGCTTGCAGAAATGGCAGTTCTCAAATCCAGCTGATCAAATGCATGAGAGTTTAATTACTTTCATTCTCCTTTTGTTTTCAGTGTAACTAAATCATTTGGGCAAAAAGAAAGCTTAGTAATGAGAGTTAGCATTTGTGGAACTCATGGGAGTCTTCTCTTGCAAGGTCTCTTGACCTTCAGCAGCGCTTTTTCACTGTCTGATGAGTTGATAACATGCATTAGGATGTTAGGATGGAGGAACAATGAACAGTGTTTAGAAGCAGGCTGCAAACATTTCCATGGGGCCAGGAACAAGGAAAAACATGGTCTTTCACTTCATTGCTTTGCTGCTGGGGCAGAAGATGAGGAGAACCATCAGATTTTCTCTTCATCTGGTGGTGTCACTGCTCAGAGCTGGGTTTAGGTGTCCTGCATTTGGTGTTACGTAGACTGGCTTTCTCTAGAAGTCTGCTGTTTGCAGACTTCTTGGAGCAGTGTTTGTAAGCCACCAGTTAAACTGATGTAATGATCAGTAAAGAAGAGCAGTGGGTAGTGACAGGATGTGTATTTGCTTGAAGGAACTTCCAAAGTTTATCTGTCCACTAAGAAAAAAGTGAGGATGTTATACTCATGATTGTGTGTTTGTTATCTCTGGAATAGTGGCATTGTTCTCAAGTCTGAGTCCTGTCTGTCATGCTGCTTTCAAATTGGTTTTATTTCATTGTGGGCCATCTGTGACCTGCTTTTGCTTGCTGTGTGGGAGGCAGCTGAACACAGTTCAGCTCCTTTTACTCCCAACAGCAAGATTGTTGTGGAGAGGGTTCATATCTGAATATTTTCTTTTGCCATGCATACACTGCTTTTCAGGAAAAAAGCTGCCCCTCCTCCAGACCCTCGGCTGCAACCAGAGAGCTGCCTGCTGCTCCAGCCCACTCCCACAAGAGGAGGGCAGAAAGCTCGTGTCAGCAGCAGGACTAACACATATATCCTGGTTGATTCAGGACTTCGGGTAAGATCTCCTCAGATAAAATGCTTTACATTCCAAATTTTGTTAAGGGTGTGCAAAGGAAAGTATTCTGGATATATTGTTTCAGTGGCACAGCCATTAGCCGTAACTTCACTTTGTATATTGTAACTCCAGTGATGCCTTTAGATTTTTATTTTTTTTTTTTTAAGTGCCTGTTGAAGTATTTGGGTGAGATATGGCATAAGTTCTACTATAACCTGAAACAGTTGTAGGACCTTACTTGACTCTTTTGTGTTCTGGCTGACTTTGAGATGAATATCCTGATTTTTCTATTGCAGCTACTGCACATGAGCCTGAAGAGATCCAAAGTAAATTCTTCTGAGGAACATGCTTTGGAAATGCTAGACCCTTTTGTTCAGCTGCTTATAGACTGCCTGAAATCTATGGATGTCAAGGTACAATTGTGAGCTGAAGTCTGTGTGTTCTGTCTGCTGTACTAAGAGTCCTGCCCACAAATGTCATCTTGCAGTTGACTTGCAAGAGGAGAGAAAGCCACCAGGTTTTCAAACCTGCTTTAATAGGTGTGCAGATTAAATTGTTTGAGGACATGTAATCCCAAGGGAGGCTTGTGGCTGATGGAGGACTGAATGGTTCTGCTCTGTGTTGCAGGGGGCAAGTTCTCCTAGAGAATGTTCATAAGAGGAACTTAGAGAGTGTCTGTGAGGATGTTCATGAGATCCTGTGCGTGCTGGGAGCAGTGTTCTCATAACTGTGGTTTCTTCTGATTCAACTCCAAAGTCTTCATTCCTAGCACTGTAGGCAGCCACTTTTTGGGACAGCTTTTGGTTTGAGTGAGCGTAGAGCCCAAGAGTGGAAGGCATACCTCATACCGTGTCAGATACTTGGAGTGGGGCTTTCCATGTCTTTAAGGCAGCTCTGCTTCATATCTTTACCTGATAAAATCAAAGTTATAGAATATTGGAGGTGCAGAAATTACTTTCAGAACTGAGAAACCTTGAATAGTTTGAAAGAGGTTGAGTTTGTTAGCTAACTGCCTTTTACCACAGTTGTAGATAGCCTGGCCATGTCTGTCAAACAGTGAGAAGTGTTCTCTCAGTGTCACTTTACCCACGTGCTGTCCTTTGGCTCTTTCTTCCAGGTGATAACTGGTGCTCTGCAATCCTTGGTATGGATTTTAAAGTTCCCTTTGCCTTCTGTCAGTACAAATATGGAGTCACTGATCAAGCAGCTTTTCCTCTTGCTGAAAGAGTTTGCCAAGACAGGAATAGCCAAAGGCCAGAATTTCCACCTGGTTGTGAGCTGTTTCAAAGTAAGTCAGACCCAGCTCTGCTCATTTCGGCTTTAGGATTAGCTTTCTAGAATGAGACTCTTCTAGCTACAGATCCCTCCTGCAGCTGTCCCTGGAGAGGTAGTCTGGAGATCACAAGCTAATGAGGAATATGTGGCCGCCTTGCTGATTCTTTCCCAAATACAAACCTAAAGATAGTTGCTCCCTAAAAATGCACAGCTTGTATCTGAAGAAATGTCTTTATAGAATCATGCTTGCCTTCTTTCTTCATTGTAGTAGTATCTTGTTCCACCTGAGTAAATCCTGGTAGCTGAATTGAGATGTGGGAACCGTACAATGCACTTGTTCACTTTTGTCTCACAATTGCCATCTGAAAGCAAAATGTGATGAGAATAGTGTTGGCCACATGTTCTAGAGCAGCAGTTTGTCTTTTCAGGCTGAGGTTGTATAAATCAAGTCAAACTTTGGTGTGCACCTTTATTTTATGGCATTGCATGTGTACTGACAATGTGCAATTTGATTTTGTAGTGTGTAACAATACTTGTGAAGAATGTAAAGAGTCAGATAACAAGCAAACAGCTCCAAGTGTTGCTTGGCTTTGCTGAAGAAGACATTTATGATTCATCACGTCAAGCCACTGCCTTTGGCCTTCTCAAGGTATTTCTGTGCAGTAGCTGTGGGTTTTCTGTGAGCCACTGGAACAGCAGTGATTCTGCTTCCTGGTGAAAGGCTGTACATTCTCACATCAGGAACAGGCTGCAGATGCTGTTGAAGCTCTCTGTTGTAAGAGAGGAAGAGTCAACAAAGTTTTACTGTTGGACTTGTAGTCACTGTTTAAAAGTGTTTGGGAGGTTGTTTTGTACACAGTGCATATGAGGATGTATTTGGATCTGAGTATGTTTTTACTAAAGAATCAACATCTCTGATCGTTAGCTCAGATATTCTGTGTTGCCCAAAAGAAACAGATATGGATGTGTAAGGTGTAAGCCATCCTTTTTTTCTTTTTTCCTTTGAGTTGCGCTTTCTGTGTGTGAAAAAGTCAGTGTTAAGGTACCACTGAGACCAGTGTTGTCTGGGTTGTGGACACTGTATAAGCAGAATGATGTGACTCCAGCTGTGCTTTCACATTTTCAGGCTATTTTATCCAGGAAGCTGATTGTCCCTGAAATTGATGATGTGCTGCAGAAGGTTGCCCAGCTGGCCATCACGGGTCAGAGTGAGCCAGTGCGAGTCCAGTGCAGGCAGGTTGGTGGAGTGAAGAGTTTCTCACTTTATTTACAGCTGTCTAACAGGCCAGAGGGCTTAATGTGGCCATCCTGTCTCTCACAAACATATGCCTTGGCCCTGCTGAACCCTGAACTCTATTTCCCCTTTCTTTACTGATCTTTATTCTCCTTGTTATCTGGCTTCAGTTCTTGAGACTGGTGCGTAGCAGAATCACAGACTCCTTGCCTATAGTGGGACTGTGGCATACCTTCATAGAGCTGTAAAATTGTTTCGGTTTAAGGTCATAGAGTCTAACCCTTAACCCAGCACTGCCCCATCCACCACTAAGCCATGTCCCTGAGTGGCACATCTATACTTCTTTTAAATACCTCCAGCCTGTTTGAAATAATCCACCACTTCCCAGGGCAGCCAGTTCTGGTGCTTGACCACCCTTTCAGTGCAGAAATTTTTCCTAATATCCAGTCTATACTTCCCCTGGCAAAACATGAGGCCATTTCCTCTTGTCCTGTCACTTGTCACATGGGAGAAGAGACGACCCCCACCTGGCTACAGCCTCCTTTCAGGCAGGTGTAGGGAGTGATGAGGTCTCTCCTGAGCCTCCTCTTCTCCAAGCCAAACAACCCCAGCTCCCTCAGCCACTCTTCATAAGACTTGTGCTCCATACCCTTCTCCAGCTTCATTACTGCTCAGCACCTCAATGTCTTTCTTGCTGTGAGAAGCCCAAAACTGAACACAGTACTTGAGGTGCAACCTCACCAGTGCCAAGTACAGGAGAGCTGCTTAGCAGCAGTGACATGGTCCCTCCTCTGGAGGCTTTTAAGCCTATGTAACTAAGCTTTGCTCTTTTTTAAGCCCCAGGATAAGCAAATTTGCCACAAATCCATAATTGCTTTCTTCTACTTCCTCATTCTTTCCAAAGTAAAACCCACTGAAAGACAGAACTGGTTACTTTGTCTCAAACATTGGGATATAGGTGCAGCAGGATCAGGAAATGTAGCTTTCATAGTTACAGGATGGATTTTGAAGGATGCAGGATCTCTTCACAGATATCTGTGCAAATGTAGTATTTTAAAAACTGATTCTGTTCCAGGCACAGAGCTTGGCAGCAGTTGTTGACCCTTTGTATAACAGGAACAGGATGAAAGGGATGATTCTCATAAGCTTGCTGCTCCATCACTAGATTGTCTTCATAACCTTTTTACAAGCTTACCTGAGTGTTTATTTTAACTCTTCTCTGTATTGTTTTTTCTTTCCAGATTTACTTAAAATACATTCTGGATTACCCTCTTGGTGACAAACTGAAACCCAATTTGGATTTCATGCTCGCACAGCTGGAGTGAGTTTATATTCTTGACTTGTATTCACTGTTCTGTGAGAACAGAACTTCGTTTTTAAATATGATTCTAGTATGCCAAAAAGCTCTTTGTAAAGAGCAGAAGGCATGGATGAAGTCTTCATTTTCCTACTTGTAAAACACTTCCCTTTTCCCAAGTCTGGCTGTTTGATGAAGCAAATCCTTTTTTCTTATCCCCATTTCACAGCTATTTAGTTCTTTATCTGTTTGTTAGCAAAAGTTCTATTGTGTGCTTAGTGGTTTACCACCTCCACTGGTTGTGAGTCATCATAAAGTCTCCCTGGGACACAGGTGAAATGGAACATCCAGGAGGAATAAGGGAAGGTGCATTTTTAGGGGACTGCTGTCCCATGGCAATGCCTCAAGTGCAATTGCAGGCACAGTTAAAACAACTGTACCAATTCTGCCAGTGTTGTGCCTCCAACCTCCTGCCGAGCTTCGCCCCTCCCTTGCTCAAGGTGACAGCAGTTACCAGGTTCCCCAGCACAGTGTGGCTGTGCTGACTCAGGTGGGCTGGAGTCAGCACTTCCTGGGCTGTTTGTGTCCCTGTGCTCATTCTCTGGCAGACAGAGCTCTTGTCCATGGTATCAGGCCAGGTCTGGTAGCTGTTGTAGAAGGATCCCTATCAGTGCATGTTTCTGGAATTGGTTGTTGTTAAATTGTTGGCAACTTCATAGGAGGATTAACTCATTCCTAACAGTTAATCCTTTATTTCTTCCCAGGTATGAGTATGAAACTGGGAGGGAATCTGCACTGGAGATGATTGCGTACCTCCTCGACACGTTCCCGCAGGTAACAAGCACCCCCTGGTGTTCCAAGAATCAGGCAGTTACTGTGGGTTGCAGTAACAACACTTTCCAAGCAGTTTATTTTGGAAGCACTTGATAGTTCCTATTATCTCTTATCATGAGCAGAACATTCACTTATCTCCAAAGAACCTGGCTTTGCTCCAAAAGAGGAATGACATGCTGGAAAGTCTGCAGTACTTCTTTGCCTAATGTGCTCTGTTTGCAAGTAAAATAAAGCTGTGTCAGCTGGAGTTTGGATAAACTCAATCGTGATTTATGGCAGGAAGAAACACAACCAGATTAGGAAACAGACTAGGAATAGAAAGTGAGAGTTTTCTCACTGTAAGGGTTTTTCAATATTCATGAGAGATTGTTGATAAAACTGGTGTGTTCTGTTTGATTGGCCTGACTGGAGAGGAAAGGCTTCTCACTGGGGTGGATCAGCATGAAAGCTAAAAAATAACTGCATCTATACAGGATCACATAGGCAAAATCCTAAGCTGCCTTGAATCTATGCAGCTGGAGCTTAACTGTGCATTCAGGACACTGGGAGAAGTGCAATCAAGCAAGAATTTGGAAGGAAGACAAATTCTGCACAGTAAGCTGTGCTTCAGCACTGCCTGATGATTTAATATTTCAGAATGGTTCCTGGGAACTCTTTAAGGTGGCAAAGAGCTGCAGTCTCTGAAAGAAGGACATTTGGGTGTTGCTGCAATGCTGAGGACTTAAGGCTGTTTCAGTGAGAGTTGGGCATGAAAATGCCCTTTAAGGTTTCACACTCACTTTGCTCTCCCAGAGATATGGTAACAAGTCAGAGTCAGAGCAGGGCTGGGGCTGCTGTACACTCCCTGTATGCTCCAACAACAGGGTCATCCCATTTTAGCAGTTCAGCTGCCTTAACATGAACCTACTCAGGGCTAACACTGCTCCTGAATATAGTACAGCAAATACTCCTCTTTTTCTCTTTAAATCCCAGAAGCTCCTTGTGTGTTTGTGGTTGACAATGGTTGTTTCTTTCTAGGATCTCCTGCACAAATACTGTGGGCTGTTTTTTCTCTCTCTTTGTATGATGATGATAAATGATGACTCAGCCAAATGCAAAAAGATGGCGGCTTTGACATGTAAATCTCTTCTCCGTAAGATCAGCAATGAAAAACAAGATCTGATGTTTTCACTGGTCACTGAGTGGTTTCACAGCAAAAAGGTACTCTTTCATCTTTTCACTGACCAGGTCTGAACTCTGTTGGAGAGTAAGATTAAGGCAAGTGAGAGATTGCTAGTACCAGAGCTGGTGGGTTGGTGGATTAGTTGTTCCTGACGTAGAGAGCAAGAAATGGTAAAGCTTCATAAAGCTGCACAAATATAGGGACCTGCTGATGCTTTAAGTCAACCTACAGACTCCTCCCAGCTGCATTTTGCAGCTCTCTAACAGTTCCACTTTTGGCTCAGTGTAATCTTTGCTCAGGTTAGAGTTTTGAGCAAATTCCTTAAAGCTTTCCTGATCCCAGCATTTTGTGCTGACTTTATCTCAGACATGCTTCGTTCTGTTGCTGGCAACTGGAAGGCAGCAAACCTGGTCTTCAAGATCTGCTGTTTGGATGTGGGTGCTTGGGTGATAAGCTGTCCTCTAGCTGAACCCAGGTTCTGTGCCTCTACACTAGTAGAGTTAGCATTCTTCAACACTTCATGGTTTCCATCCTAGGATGTTCAGTTTTGGTATTTAACTGTAAGCTGCCTGTTGCATTGTGAAGAGTTGAAAGTAACTCCCAGATTTCTGCAGTTGGGATTTCAGCAGTTCTGGCATTCAGTTTTAGGGTGCATTTCCAGGGATAACTTGTGCTGCCAGGTGCTTTTATACCTTGCTGGCAGCATCTCCTTTTTCAGTGTACTCTGAAACCAGCTTCTCTTAAGGTGCTGTTGCTACAGGCAGAAAGTAAGATTTACTACCAGCTCCTGCACTTGGGAGTGCAAGATTTGATTATAAGAGTTAATTTCTTGTTATTTCTTGTGTGTCAGAGCTCACACAGGAGGTTGGCTGCCCAGGCATGCGGTTTGTTTGTTGAAGTGGATGGAGTAATGTTTGAACGGCGCCTTGCAGCAGTCCTCACTTTGATTGAAAAAGAAATCAACCCAAGTAGATTTGAAAATGTAAGTAACTTTTTGCCATGCATGAAACTTGAGTAAAGAGAATTAAGAAAATTGGAAGAGGGAAGAAGTGTAGGAGAGATTGAACTTACTGTTCAAGACTGAAGAAACGCACAAAACACACGCATCTGTTCTGAAGAGGACCTCACTGACCTAGAACCTTATATTTTTGCCTGTAAGCCCAAATTTGATGTCATATGTCACAGCACAAAGTTTTGCAAGAAACTTTGCAAAGCCACCTGGCCTGAGCCTGCAACTGTGCAGTGTAACCAGCAGATATATTGTTCCTTGCAGTGTGGGAAATGTGAGATTTGTGTAAGCATTGATTTCAGGAGTGCATGGCATGGGACTCTGCTTTGTCCAGTGTTATCTACAGCTTTAACTTTCAAAGTACTTCCTGTACTTTAAGACCATGGTTGTGTTGTATGGAAGATCTTTTTAGTGCACTTGATTAACTCAGAATAACAAGGCTGCCTCAGATTCTACTTGGCATGTGATAATCCCAAAGGGATCCCAGTCACTGTGCCTGGGAAGTGGCCATGAATGTTACTTACGTTCAGCATGCTGCCCTTGCACAAGAGAGAAGAGACTCTTAGGATCTGTAAATTGGCAAGCGATGAAAATAAAATACCTGCAGTGAGGAGAAATTTGGTGTAATCACAAATCACAAATCCTGTGCTGTGACATTTACTGACAACTGACATCAAGCCAGCTGGTGGTTGCAGGGTGAGGCCCACAGGCAGCACACACAGTGTTGTCATAACAACTCAGGGCTTCCCAGGTGATACAGACAAATCTGCGCTCAGCTGGGCTCTGATGAGAATCAAATCTGCACAAGTACATGCACAGACATAATGTGTGTAGTTGCTTGCATTTAGAAACCCAGCAGTTTGTTACAGTCATGTCTGTATGAAAAGCAAGAAGAATGATTCTAATACAGTCTCCTGCAGAGATTGTCTCCAGAGGAAATGCTTCAGTGGAGGTGCTTCTGTTCTGTTTACATTGGGAATTGGGTACAAGTCAGTCTTCTGGCTTTTTTTGAACGGTTGATCTGAAATTGATTTAGCCACGACTAATCAGGACTGTCCTCAGGTTCTCATAAGTATTTTTCTTGACTTGCTGATTTTATTAGATAACCAAAGAAGAAGAGGAGAAGGCTGCAGATAGGCTGCTATTCAGCTTTCTTGTGCTGGTAAAAAAGCTAATCACAGAGTGCAACTTGATCCAGTTAACCAAGCACAGTGATGTTGTGAGCAGAATCTGGGGTAAGTACCATTCAGGAGTTAGTACAGCTGTGCTCCAAGAAAGATTCTTTGTGTGCCTTGTGGTTTTTCACATGCTAATAGAAATGACTGAACTTAATTATACAAGGTTTCCATTCTGCAAAATGCTAACACACAGCAGTTATTGGGCAATGAAAGAGAAGTTGCTAATGGAAAAGGTTACATGCTTGATGAAAACAACACACCCTCTGTCTCAGTTGCTGGGAAGTACTTTCTATTATCCACAGGGCAAATAATTGGAAACTATTGCATGTTTCACCATAATTACATTCTCTTGGATGAAAACATTGAGGTCTCCTGAGAAGATGAGATTTCCTTGATCACATATACCAGCCAGAAAATGATGATACATGGTAATAGTGCTCTAAATACTGGGCCTGTCAGGATGTGAAGACCTGGAAGTTACTTGATTCAAGCAATTTCCCTGTGTGCAAGATTATAAAATATGAGGCTGGTTATTGCCATTTTGTTGCCCTTATTTTAACTGCTTCATTTGCTGCAATCAGAAGACCTGATGTGGCTGGTTAGTGACTTTGAAGAGTCCAGCCTGCCAGGTGCCTTAAGTGAGATAGCAGATAATCATTGTTATCCTGGATTTTGGCCAGAGGTGAGACAGGAGAGCAGCTCCATGTCTTCTCTGAAGCATCCTCGGCCTCTCTGCAGGGGTTTGATTTGTCCATCAGCATCGGGCCCAGCTGACACAAGCCAGTCCCCCAGACATCCTGGGCAGATGAGCTATGGCACCGAGTCCCCATGGGGACTGTAGTTGTTGCAGAAACATGACTTGCCTGATCACTGTGGGGACATTTGGCTACCTGTAGGTTTTTGCTGCTTTTCACTTTGGCTGGATTGAGTTGCTAGAAAGTCTTTTATTTATATTCTGAGCAGATGAGCACAGTTCACTTAATTTACCTTTTTGTTGCAGGATATGTTGCAATAAAAATAAATTGTTGGGAGTGGCCTCATTCTATTTTTGCTCTCAATGGACCGTCTCCTTTGCTGAAAGAGGTTTTCTTTTCCCCAGATCATGTCCAGTCTCACCTGTGGTATCCTCATAGCTGGGTCTGGCTGACAGCCACTGAGATCTTTGGCTTGTTGTTTGCATCTTATAAGCCAGAAGATCTTGTCAACAAATGGAAGGAAAGAAAGTCAGGGAAGAGAAGAAAGACACCAGCAGAGCTGTCTGCATCCACAGTCTTCTTGACTGCTGAACTGGACAAAAAGGTAATGATGTCCATACTATCCCTTCACTCTGCTCATGCCCATTCCCTGACTGGGACATAAAAATAGTTCAGTTTGGCCTGAATGTTTCTCTTTTAGTCACTTATCTGCTGTCTAATCCTCAACACTTAAAGCATTTGAGGAGGTGGCTCTGCTGCTGGGAGGGGACTTCTCTGGGGTCTTATTCTCAATAGCACAAAAATACCTTTCCAGATTGAAAGATGCAGGCAGAAAGTTGTGTTGATCATTTGGTCTCCCCTGGGAATTGCCTTTGGTGACTGCAAAATACTGCTTTGAGTGTCTGCTGCCAGCTCCCTTCAGTGGAGTCATTCCTTTCTCCTTTTTCATTTCCCCAGATGAAGGAACTCGCGTTTGCATTCTGCCATCAGCTGCAGTCCAAGTTCCTGGACATGTCTCTGAGTGAGCAGGTAAGGGCAGGGGCTGCAGGAGGGCACAGAGCAGGCCCTGGCATGTGAGCGATGTTGTGTCCTGGGTGGTGGCACAGGACAGACACACAGTTCAGGGCTCGCTGCTCTCTGCCCAGGGCACAATGCTCTGTCACATCAGGTCTTGGCTCTTACAGAGGCAACCCACAGTGACTGACTCCTCTGTTTCCACACTTCAGGTTATAAAGAATTTACTTTTTGTGGCCAAAGTTTTTTACTTGCTAGCCCCTGCCTCAGAAGAAGGTAAAGAGGCAGATGGAGAGCTCAGGTCTGAAGTGGAAGAGCAGGAGGTATCAGAGGATGAGAGAGATACTTCTGCTCAAGGAGAGGAAGAAAGAGAGGACACACAGGAGAAAGGCCAGCCAGCCACACTGCTGTGGTTAATGAAGAAGCTCTCTGTCATGGGGAAGAGAGAAGCAGCATATTCCCCTAAGGTCCCTTTAAAGGTAAGAACAGTGTTGGTCGTTGGTCCCGCTGCTTTTGATGAGGTGGGCGCTTCTACAGGACAGTGTTGCTCTGGCTCTGCTTTCAGGGCACAGGGGGCAGAGGGTGCTGTGAGCTGGCACTGAAGTGAGGATTAGTAGGTGCTGAAGAAACACCTACTGTGTTTTGGGGCTCTCGGGAAAGGCTTGTGCCAGTCCTTGCCAATGCTTCCAGCCTCTTGAGGGGTGGGGGAAGAGTGGTAAACCTCAAGGCTCCAAGCTGAAGAGAACAGAGCAGTGCCTTTGAATGCCCCAGAGGGCTCATGCAGGCAGGGGAATGGCAGCATGGAGTAACTTGCTAGGAGGAGGAGGGGGGAGGTGTGGGAGAGCATCACCAAAAGCGCTGTGGTTCCCCATGGTGCACAGATAGGTTGAACTTGTGTGTCCTCAGCTGTTGAGAACAGTGAGAACAAGCCTGTTGCTCAAAGTGTCAACAGCTGCCAACCCAATCTCAGCTCACACAGCAGGGGTTGTGTCTCTAAAGGCTGCACTTGGATGCAGTAAGACCTTGAAACAGCAGTGAGTTTGTGACTCAGGTGTCTGAAACAACACCTCCTGTGCTGAACAGTGATGCATGGCCCTCTGGTAGCAGTTCAGTTAGGAAGCTTCCTTCCAGCTTTCCTTACTTCATGTCCCACACACTTCTTTTCAGAGAAGCTGCATCTTTAAGTTCCTGGGAGCAATCTCGGTGGATCTGGGGCAAGACAGGATCAAGCCCTACCTTCCAACAATTCTCACCCCTCTGTACAGGGAGCTGAACAGCAACTATGCAGAGCAAGGTAAGGGATTTCCCTCTTGAAGAGGAATGTGCATCACAGCTATGCCCCAGTACAAACACTACCTGCCATTCCTTTTGTCTGATAAGGCATTGATTTTGTAATCAGTGAATTTCACCTGCTTGCTGCCTAACCAAAATACCAGGAAGGGAGGAGGGTGTATGTCAGCTGAAATAGAAACCTACATGTTCAAAGACTGGAATGAAGTTAGGAATGCTCCTGTGTTCAAGTGGGTAAAGCTTGAGCATGTGGTGTAGTGGGAAAAAAGTAGTACTCAAAGGTGGGCTCATGGTGTCAAGACTTAGAGAGTCCTTCCTGAGAGAAGCTTGCAAGAACTGTTTGAGAGACCAGGGGAAGTATTTGCCCTGCTCTCAGTTTTTCTTTGCACCTCTTTGTAGCCTTTTTTCATCCCCAGTAGCTTTCTTTTCCCCCAGTGATTGTAGTTAATATATTGCCACTAACTAGTGATTCCAACAATTAAGCCAGCCCTTATTTGGCTACCAAGGATGCTGACTGGAATAATCTTTATTTCCAACAAAGCCTATTCCACTAGAAGCCTACTGGTTATGTATAGAAAGAAAGCCACTTGTAATTACCTTTCGAATGACTTCACCGTTCTAAAATTTTTTTTTGCTTCTCAGAAGCTTTGTTTGTTTGTTTGCTGGTTGAAAAGCTACTCTCTGGGAAAGCTGGTGGAGTACCAGCAGATTTCCCAGGCACTGGTTTGGGCAAGGTTTATCAGTGCAGCCATGCTTTGCTAAAGAAAGAGGAATCCATATTGTGCTCTTGGCTTTTGTTCCATATGCTGAAAAGATAAAGTAAGTCAATTTTGTTTTAATAGATCCAACACTGAAGAACCTTTCCCAAGAAATCATAGAACTTCTCAAGAAGTTAGTGGGGCTGGAGGCCTTTTCACTGGCCTTTTCTTCTGTGCAGAAACAGGCCAACCAGAAAAGAGCAATGAGGAAAAAGCAAAGGGCTTTGCAGGTAAGATTCCACTTTCTCTTGAGAGAAAAAGAAATAGGGCTTCTCTGAAGGCTTGAGAGACGCCCAGGAAGGGGAGTTTAAGAACTTCATCTTTAATTAGGACAGTTTCATCAGTTTCTTTATAAAACTTGGAAGAAGCTGTGTGTGATCAGCCTCTTGCACAGGTTCTGGCTGACAGGGATGGTTTCCTGCTCACCTGAAGGGCAAAGCAGCCTGAACACCACCCATGTGTTATTTTAGCAGTCACCAATTTCTCAGGAAGTTCACGATTTTCACGGGGACTGCTGTTAGTTGTCAGTGAACTAACAATGTACTGGTTTTCCTTAGACTGTAGCAAATCCTGACATTGCTGCAAGGAGGAAGCTGAAGAGACACAAGAATAAAGCAGAAACCAGGAAGAGAAAGATAGAATCCCTGCGTCCTATGTACAAGGCCAAGCGACATCGAAGTAATGCGCTAAAAGATTTGGCAATGGTGGAATGAAAGGGCTTTTCCTGGAGGATTAATTTATAAAAAGTAATACTGAGTTAAAGAACTAATTACTGTTTTTAAAAGTACTTACATATTTCAGTTGTATTTATTAGTATTTTTATGTCCTTTTTCATCAAGGATCTTAAGTAAAAACTTCTAAATTTTTTCCAAACCTGTATATTTACCAGAGCATGTACAGTTGAATGGGAAACAACTATGATATTTTATATTAAATTTGACTTCATTTGTAAGAAATGGGTTCTGTGATGATTGCATTTCTGCCTGTGAGCACACTGGTCTGACTCCTGACTTTGATTTGGCCTTCAGTTTCTGCAGCTACACTGAGCTACTTACCTGTCACTTCTGGCTGAGAGTGCAGGAACAACAGCTCATGAAGGTGGAAGTTCAATTCAAGTCACTGCCCTGGCACATCAGGGCAGTAGTGTGTGCTGAAGACAATGGTTTTCCTTTCAGACACCCCCTGAATGCCATGTTGGCAGCCAGAGGTGCACTGTTTGTGCTCCCTTGCTGTACCTCACTGTAACACTGTGTCTGCACTGCAGATGCACCTCTGCAGCTGTTCAGCTACGTGGCTGCTGGAACTGGCAGCCTTGGACTTGTTCCTGTAAAGCAAGCAGCAAGCAAGCAGCCTCTAGGAAGCAGCACACGCTGGGTATAGCTGACAGTTCCAGATTTTATTAGTGTTCTATCTACACCAATATGCTGGCCACCAAACCACCAAAGGAAGGGGGGATGACAAAAAAAAAACCCACCAACTTTCTCAGCCAGTAAGACTTCCATACAAATTAACATAAGTACATTCTTTAAACAAAAAGTAAGAAATGGAGTATCATAATGTACACATTCACTTATTTCAGTTTTACAATTGAAGAGAGGCATCCACATTACAGAAGTCAAACTCAAATCTGATCTATTTACAAGTATCTGTGGCCTGAACATACTTAACTGCAGAAAGGAGGATGCTGGCTATAGCTGACACTTCCTTGCACTGGTCAGTTTTGTATCACTGCCTGCTCTTCAAGGCCTCCACCAACCTAGGAAAAAGGTCAAGTCAGTTTACTGAAAAGTCATTTCATTCCTGCTGAAATACTTCCAGCAGAAAACCAGTCATTCTTCCCATGTAGACTCTTACATCAGACTATCCACAAATCCAGTCCTATTTAAAAAAAAACCAAATGTGTAAAATTAGATATATGAATGAAACATAACTAGACTGATACTCACCATTCCATTGCTTCATCAAGCCCTGTGCCTTTAGTTGCAGAGGTTTTGAATATCTGCCATTTTCGGTCCTTCAAGGCTGGTAAGCCAAGGGCATTTGCCATTTCTGTGGGAGTCATGGCCTGTTCCATGTCCTGTTTATTTGCAAACACCACCAAAATGGCTTTCTTCAGCTCTTCTTCCTAAAAAAAAAGCGAAATCATGGAAGTTGTTGCAGAGACTTCTACGGAATTTAAGGAGAGAAAACCTATATATTATATAAAACCGTACATATAATAAAAAAGAACTTCAGCAGCTCTCAATTATTTTGTTTGCTGATTTTTGTTCTGTAGAAAATTCTCCAGTGAAAGAATGGTGTTTATTTTCCATTCCAGTATGATACTGGAATTTCAATTCCAGTATGAAACTGCTTCCTATAGGAGCAGTTTCAAAACATGGCCAGCCCAAGTTATGAAACAAGCTGGTAGCTGGATTTAACAAGGCACATTAAATGAGCTTGCAGGTATTTTGGGCAGCAAGGCAAGAAAGAGAAAGGAAGTGTTGCTCAACTGATCTTACTTCCATTACCTTGTTCTACATTTGTTCTTCATCGTAGGATGTCAATTACTAATTACTGTCAATCCTTCAGGGCTTGATCTTGCCACACTGCAGTACTGAGCAGCTGTCCTGGCAGGCAGGTAAATTTTCATATGACTGCAAGGCTACATGAAATTAACTGTCCAGTAATGCTGCACAAACCCATGAAATACCTGCAGAGTATTCAGTGCTCTGTCAGTCAGAAGTGCTGCATGGGCTATGCTGAGGGCTGAAGTTTCACAAGTGAAGTTGAGCTTCACTTGGTTCACTGAATCAAATTTCATATTTACTCCAAAAAGAAAAGTTTTAATTTCTCAATTTATTTTACTGTTAATGACTGTGATGCTTGTTTTCTTACCTCTAACATAGCAACAAGCTCTGATTTTGAAGTGCCAATTCTGTCTCGATCACAGCTGTCCACTACATAAATGACGGCGTCTGTGTTTGAATAGTAACACCGCCAGTAGGGCCTGCAGAGGAGACACAAGTTCCAGTCATGTCATTTGCATGGTAGCAGTTCCTTTTAGCTAGATAATCAAAACCAGATCACCCAGAGCAAGTAAAAACTCTCTGGGGTGAAAAGTCCCAGGAGAAAAGTAGATTTCTTCAAGGGGCTACAAAAACTAACAGACAGTACAAATACTCTCTTTTTGTACACAACAAAAAAAAATTAAGAAGCAACTTGAAAACAGGGAAAGAACAGACAAGCTGGGGACAGATTTATTTGGGAATCAGACTGCAGGACATCAGATCCATAACTGAGGGACAGGAAAGCAAAGTTTAAAGATGTAACCAAAGAAGAGTCACCAGAGAAATCTTAAATGAATAATTAATACAGGCAATTAATTAACAAGGATCAAAACAAAACACATTTTTCAGAATTATTGTACTGAAACTAAAAAGGGAAGGAGCCTTTATCTCACTAACTGCACTTCCTTACCAGCTAACTACACTGCAGCTTGCTACTAAGCACTGAAAAAGGAACCCCAAGGGCATCATACAGGGGTACTGTTAATGATTCATTACAAAACTTGTGAAGCTTGCTAAAAAGTTACCATCTATACCGAAATCCAACTTCACTACTATTAAGAATGCAAAGCCAGGAAGTATCTTTCTGGGTTTTCATCACCCCCTCCATCCTTTTTCAGAATGCTACTCAATTGCCTACTACACTAATAAATTTGTTTTTCAAAGCAAAACTGAATAGAAATGAAAACCCTGGCTTGTTTTTTTCCAATCTGTGAATCACAGGTTTTACAAACTGAATTCCATTAGATGAAAATGCTCTCCTGAGAATGGGCTTTTAAAAACTTAAACAATTTTCAGAAATGCCTGCTATGAGAATTCCAAGAATTTTTTAGAGGAAGTTAATTGACTTTAAGAAATCTATTACCTTATGCTTGTCTGTCCTCCTAAGTCCCAGACTTGAAATTTCAGATTCTTGTAGGTTACCGTCTCAACATTGAAGCCAATGGCTGAAACAAAGTGAAACAATTTTGCTGTTAGTAATTTTCCTGTTTTTCTGAAGAATATCACAGCACTCAGTTTAAAATTTTCAGTAGCTGCATAATAAAGTTCATGCCCTTTGAAAAGCTACCCCAACAAACATGACTCAAAATAATGCAGAAATATTTCTTTTGAACTAATAAAACCACATTGTAAACATATTGTAGAGATTTGTAAGAAATGCAAAGGTTGTTAAAAATCAACAGCAGTGTGTCTGAAATCCCCAAAGGAAACAGAGCAAGGGTTAAAGAACTGTCCTGCTGTGATAACCAAGTACACAACTGACAGCAAGAGAGCACTAAGGAATGTGTCCTTCTGTCCACACAAGGTCTGCACTCTTTTAAGAGCCACAGCAGAACTAAAGCAGAACCAGCTTCCCAGGAGAGGACTCGATACCAACGTCTGGAAGATGGCAACAAGGCTGCAGTATCACAAATGTCATTCCTTGTCCTGCCAGCCCCAAGAAACACAGCGCAGGGAAGTGAGCAGTGGGCACAGGCTGCTTAGAATTTATGGAGGCTGAAATAAGCAAAACCCTCAGGCAAAAAGATTATGTCCCAGCAAACTGCTGGCTTTAAAAAGTAATAGAGGTCTGAGCAAAGTGAGATTCAGGAGGAACACAACAGACATGACAGAGACAAAAAAGCCAAGCATTCTTTGTCCTTCATGTTCCACAGAGTGATCATGGCCAGAACACTTGGGTGCACACACTGGGGGGCTGTGGCTGCATGAATGCCAAGACAAGTGGTGAAATCAGTTGCATTTTTTAAGCAAGCATCATCCTCTCCCTTGAAACTACACATTGAGTTCTATTACATTTTCTACAGAATGTAAAGTTAAATCATCTTCTTATCCATGTTAAACAGAAGTGTTCATACAGCCCTCATCAAAAAAAGGTACACCATCCTGTGTACAGCAACAATGACCTCTGAAGTTCACATAATACCTGTATTTGGAAACAAACTAATTATAGAGTCCACATTTACCATCTATTGAATGCTGACCTACCACAAGTAGTCTGTGAAATCATGCTAACAATCTTGAGGTCAAATGCTTTTTCAATTTTTAAGGTAGCATAAAATATTCTTTTGTAATGCTTTTATCCAAGAAAAGTTCTTAGATACAACAGTGCAAGGCTCCCACACCATAAGGTCCTTCTGTTTATGAAGGAAACATGCAGTAAGTTTAGCTGGCAAAGTTTCTGTGTCAGAGCTACAGGCAAATCACAGGCTCCAGGCAAATACTCTCCCCATGGGTAGATCACTTACTTGGAATGGTGGTAACAACTTCTCCAACCTGTAACCTGTAGAGAATGGTTGTTTTTCCTGCTCCATCCAGCCCCAGGATGAGAATCCTCATCTCCCGAGTTCCAAACAAACTGGAAAAGATGGTGGAGAAGAAGCCCCCTACAAAAACCAGAAGAGAAAGACATTTCAGTGCCAGCCAGCTCTGAGGAGGATATGCAAAGGCAGACAGACCAACCTCATCTCTTACTGTTCTACAAGACATTACTCCACTGAAAAAGGACAAGTCCAGGTTGTTGCCCAGATGGCTGTGTGCTCATCAACATCATGTCCTCCTGGTTTATGCTGCCATTTTATGATTTTATGGTAGCTCATTCCAGCAAATCACATTGCAGCAGTATCAAATCTCACTGCAGTTACAATTTTATTTTTTCCTTTTCTCTCCTTTGCCAAAATATGAGTCATCTGCTTTTTGGCTTGTATCAGACTCTACCTTTTCAGTGCCAGAGATTATACAAGGACCAAAAGAAGCCTGAAAGAATTCAGCATCAGAAGATGTCTACGGCGTTCCACAGGACCAACCACTTCTTTTTTTCTTAAAATTAGGTATAAATCAGTAGGTACCTATTAAATCAGTTCATTACAAACAGCAAAGCTGCACCAAATCGAGTATGGTAATGCTACAGAGAAGTCTAGCAGCTGGTTTTAAATGTCCTTCTCATTCTTTTTTTTTTTTTTCAAAACTGGCTTGCCCCAGCATCTCATTTATTCTCTAAATGCATGCAAGAGTACTTGTGGCCAGGCTAATTTCTGATTTATGCCTACTAGATTTTTATTCATAAAAAGAATGCTGATGTTCTAAGCCAGTAACAATTACTTTTGTTTCCAAAGATGTTTATAACAAACATACCTAATGTTAAATCATAACTTTGTAAATACACTTAAAGCCTGCAAAAGGTAATGAAATATCCAACAAGCCAGAATCACTGACAACACTGATAAATATACCAGAGACAAATTAAGAAGATTTGTGACCAAAATCTTACTGAAAGATGCTTTGATAAAAATTATTCCCTATGTTTGCCTATCTAGTAATCTGCTTTTCCAGGGAAAGGAGGGAACTGAGACTGATAACAGGTTGCTTTATCTCTTCTAGGCCCATCCCACCACAGAAGCCATACACACTACAGACCTGGAAAACAAGAAGCTGTAAGGGACCATCAGTTGCCAGTCTGCATAGTGCTGCTCATGGCACCTCTTACTGCCAGGCAGGCTAATAACTTTAAGAGAACTGAGCTGGAAAAAGGCATTTCAGGAGAAACATAACAAGCAGAAGGTTACCACTGGTTGCATGGAGGCCTAAGATGCAAAAATGCTTTCAGTCAGTAACTTTGCTTGCCGCCAGACACCTCTCACTCCCTCTTTTTATACGCTATTGTGCATGCTTTTCCCACACTAAAACACTGCTCAAACAGCATCTGCAACAGGACAGGTTCACCTCAACCACTCAACCCTCGGATTCAGGGCCTCTCCTTAATATACCCTCTACTTCATTTACCGGTCTGCAGGACCTCCTCTCCTAATCCGCTCTCATCAGCAGCTCAGTACAGACTCGGTTCACAGTTTGAGTTTGCCAGGTGTCAGGAGTACAGCACCTGAGGACATGACCAAGCACACCCTCCTGCGGCTGCTCGGACCATTCCCCATGGCAAGGCAGCCCCAGCGCGGCCTCCGGGCACTGTCT